TGGGAATCTATTGGTTCCTTGGTTCTGAGACATGAGTCCTGCTCTTCGCAGGTATCTGTTAGTGCTCCACAGCAAGTCAGTCGGCCTTAGGTAAATATGGCCTATATGCCTCTGCACAGTGCTTGAGAGACCTCTGAGGATTCAAGGGTGAGTTTCCTCAATGGCTTCCCCTGACATCCAAGTGGTCACTTGGTGAAAGGCACACCGACTGCCTAGTTCCCCAAACCTGGGCCATCGTCCATCCTCCACTCTCAGTCCCTGCTACCATTTGCCTGGTTTAGACCACTGCTCTCTCTTCACTAGGTTACTGCTCATTCTCTCTACTTCCAGGCTTCCTTTACTACAATTAATTCTTCCTATTGTAGTAAGAGTAATCTTTCAAAAACATAAATCTGATCAAGTCACTTCCCTACTTAAAATATTTAATGCATTCCAATTATTTTTAGGCTGATATCTAAACTTCTTGGCCTGCTTGACCTATCTGCATGATGCACTTCCTCAGGGCCCTAGTCATACTCTAATCACCATCAGGCCTTCAATCTTGCTGTTTCTTCTGCCTGGAGCCATCCTTTCTCTCATTTTTTTGAAGGAGGGCCAACTCCTCCTTCAGGGTGTAGACAATTTGAATAGCACCTCTTCCAGAAGCCTTTCTTAATCCCCCAGGACTGGGTTACAGCAGGCATTAGATAAAAATTTGCTGAATAAATGAACGAATAAATGAAGTGTAATAAAAGACACATGCAACCTGACCTCCGAGGCAGCTGCCTAAGAAACTAAGCCGTGGGTACCCACATGCCAAAAATTCTCCCACTTGCAGGTCTGAGCAAGTACTATTCATCAGACAGCCATCTGGAAAGGTTTCTAAGATTTATTAGTATATACATATTTTTGGTGCAAAATTCGTAAGGTACAAAAGGGTGTTCTTCTCTGGCACCCTGAGCCTTATTTCTCCTCCACAGAGGCAACCACTAATAACCAGATTTTGGGTGTGCCTCCTCAGATAGTCTATGCATATACAAGTATATACGAATACACAGAACCACATTTTCTTAACAGCTTCTCCTACACTTAAAACTTCTATTCTCAAGGTCTTCAGGTATGGCCTAGATGTGGTAACAGTACAAGACTTAGGAATTCAAATGGAGAATATGTCTGCATTTTGTTTATTCTATTTTAAAAAGGTTTCTCACATGCCTTCCTTGTTCATAAGCTTTAACATTAAGATGGACCATCTGCAGTCAGAGTTTTAGGAAAGCCTCCTAACAAAGGTGACACTGGTAGTGCCTGTGCTTCCATTCCCATTTAGAAAGGTCACTCTGCAGGCTGTGGGGAGGGAGTGAGGACAGCCTGGTGAGCCTACTGCCAGAACCCCATGTCCTGGTGCAGCCACAGGAAGTGGCTGGGGTCTTTGGAAACTGAGTAAAGCAAGGTCAGGCAGCCAGGCCCAGAATGTGGCACAGTGGGGTGGCAGGCAGGGTTCTAGAAGGCTCAGCACATTCCAGAGATGGCAGTTATGAGAGCCGGCTCCTGCGAGAGGCCCATGACATTACCAGGGGTGGAAGACAAGAATAGCTGGGGTGGATCTTGCAGTGAGGAGTCAGGAAAGGCTGAGAGAAGATCTATAAAGGCCCTAGGACTCTACTTAGCATCTACTTGGGCAGAAGAAACTGGAGAGTCAGACTACTGCGAATGTGCCAACCTGAGTGGCATGCAGCAGGGTCACAAGCACAGGCTTGGCCTGCCTGAGAAAAGGCTAGGATCTGAGTCTCTGACAGATACCTTGCCCAAAGTCCTGTCTGCCCCATGAGTACCATGTAGACAAACACTGTGGGCTTTGGATTCTAGGTCAGGAATTGGACATATAAAAGGGGCTTTGCTTTGTGGAGAAACAAGCAAAAGGATTATCCCCAGCATTCCTTAGGCCAGCTATGCAATCTGCTACCTGCCAAGAGGAAATGCCATCTTCAAGGCAAGGTACAGCAGTTATCTGGAGCACAGGGTGAAGAGGCCATCATGAGCGGTTTCATCTTGCTTGGGCCGGGAGCTTCCTTCTGTTCTGTTATCAAGGAGTGGATACTCTGATTTGGCCAACGCCTCACCAGTCTGGGTTGTGAGTGAGCAGGCAGCCTGGACTGGCCTGTTCCCAAGAGTGGAGAAACATCTCTGAGGTCTGTTTGACCATCCCAGTCTGGTTAAAGACTTCCAGCAGCCCAGAAGAATACAAATCTCACTTCTTTTGTCTATCTACAGATACATCTAAAAGCAGATCATGGTAGTAAATTATCTGCGCTCTGTTTTAAAGCCAGCATTATAATGAGCCTTGCTTGTTGTTTAAGCATTGAGATTATTTCCTAATCCTTGGATTTCTGTAATACACATCATCTTGTGGCTGCAATACAGTGCTTTTCTCATTGTAAAATAATCCTTTGTCGTAAAAGCAATGAATCAGGGAGCTTGACTCATGAACAGGAGCGAAGGGAGGCAACTGCTCCCTTGGGACGTAAGATGTTTGTCTACCGGTGGCAGATTCTACCTCTAAGAGAGCCACCAAATCTCTGAGGAAGAAGAAATACTTGCATTTTATCTCCTCTCTCCCCAGAGGGTCCATGCCCATGGTGAATTAGGTCAGATCAGTCTATAGTGTCCTCTTGGCCCAGATGTAAGGGGAAGATGTCTACCAAGGCACTATCACTTAACAAGCCCTTTGCAGTTCAGAAAACAGCATATATGGCCTCAAGGTTATCTGTCTACATCTGATCACATTCCCAGCTTTCTTTTTTTTTTTACTCCTCCGACCAGGGACTGAACCCAGGCTGTGGCAGTGACTGTACCCAGGCTGTGGCAGTGACTGTGGCACTGAACCCAGGCTGTGGCAGTCCTAACCACTGGACTGCCAGGGAATTCCCCTGGCTTTTTTTTTTTTTTTTTCTTTTAATTCTTTTCTTAAAAACATATTTATTTGGGCTTCCCTGGTGGTGCAGTGGTTGAGAGTCCACCTGCCGATGCAGGGGACACGGGTTCGTGCCCTGGTCCGGGAGGATCCCACATGCCGCGGAGCGGCTGGGCCCGTGAGCCATGGCCACTGAGCCTGAGCGTCCAGAGCCTGTGCTCCACAACGGGAGAGGCCTCAGCAGTGAGAGGCCCGTGTACCGCAAAAAAAAAAAAAAAAAATTATTTATTTATTTTATTTTTGGCTGCGTTGGGTCTTAGTTGTGGCACGCGGGATCTTTTGTGGTGGTGTACAGGCTTCTCTCTTCCTGTGGCATGCGGGGTCCAAAGCGTGTGGGCTCTGTAGTTGCGGCATGCAGGCTCTCTAGTTGTGGCTCGCATGCTCAGTAGTTGCAGTGCATGCGCTTAGCTGCCCCGCGGCATGTGGGATCTTAGTTCCCCGACCAGGGATCGAACCCGAGTTCCCTGCATTGGAAGGCGGATTCTTAACCACTGGACCACCAGGGAAGTCCTCCCACCCCCACCCCAGCTTTCTTTATATAAGCACAGAATTGACACACATTGCCTTTGAACAATGAGTTGGAAGGCAGTGTTAATGAAATATGCCTACAAAATCCCAGACAGAACTCATTCTGTCTTGGCCTAAAAGAGCTTTCCTCTTGTAATACTGGCCCAGGTTCATGGACAGTAAAGACAGAACACTTGCTTAAGGTTCTTTGCCAAGGTAGCCTGATCATCTTTCTCCCACATGCAAAAAAAGAAGAGGGGCACTGAAGGAGAAAGTGTCAAGAAGCCAAGGGGCACTAGGGTGGCAATCGTCATGTGATCAGTTATGTGATCGATCACTATATGATCCATCATATAGTCAGAGGGGCTTACTACAGCCCACACCCTTGGCTTTGATCATGACTTCCAAACATTTATCGAAGGACCAGACAGCTCTCTTTGGTTATCTCCTGGACCTATGTTTTCTCCTATGTAGTCTATTTCAAGGATAGGTACCACCAACCTTTCCAATCTCCCAAGCTAGAAACCTAGGAGTCATTCCAGATACCCCCTTTTTCAATGTCCCCCCATCTAGTCTGTTACCGGATCCTACTAACCCAGCCCCTATAAAATCTCTTTAATCTACCTGGGGTGGACACCGTGGATAGACCCAGCCAACCTCCATTCAACTCTGCTTCTGGGGTGCAGTGCCTAGGAAGCAACAGGGGCCTCTAAAACCTAGACTTGAGACTCCCTGGTGCAGCAGTCCAACACACACATTCTTCTCTCCAGTGACCCGGCCTCCTGCCCTGCACAGCCTCCAGCTCAGCTCTTCCCCAAGACAACAGCTCTACGAATGCTCTGTTGTCTCCATTCCCTGTGGATTGGCAATGGCATCAGCAGGGCAAAACCGTGCTGGTGACACTGAGTTATTTTCTTCCATCTAATTTCTACTTGCTGGGCTGTTTCAGGAAGCCCAGACCCCAGGCCTTCTGACAACAATAAGTATTTTATCACTAACTGTAGGAAATTTAGAATTTATTCTGGGTCTCCAGCCATCATAGCTAATATGACTAAAAAGTGCTGCTCCCAGGCTGCCAGATGGTAGGACAATGCAAGGATGAGTATAACCTACAGGATGGGTGGATTTTTCTAAATGTTATAAAGGAGACGTGGAAAATTTCAGTATATGTAGCAGGGGATTAAGGGAGGAGGTTCTACTCGGCCATACTCTCACTCATGGGACAGGAGAAATGCATCAAAATCTTGCTGATCCACAGGCTAGGAATACCTATTCAGTCCACTGACATTAGCTGGAAGGCCAGGGCAGACTTAAGCCCAGCTCAGAAGAGGTGTTGCCATGGCAATTTATTATCATTAAGAGACAAACTCTCGGAAGAAATCTGCCTATCAAGTATGATAAAAGCAAAAAATGCCCAAGTTTTCCCTGGATCAGTTTTATTTGCTTTAGATTTCAGAATGGTAGGTGGGAGCACGAAGAAAAGTCTGTCGCATCTAAACATAATTTGAAAGGCTTGCAAGCGAAAACAGAGCATATTGCTTACCTTGTGAACACTGGTCGAGACATTTAGGAAAGAGAAATCTAGGGAGAAAAAAGAAATATTTTAAAACCATTAATCTCAGAATTTTCATTGGTTATTTCTCACAAAAATGTGAGTATCACTAACATACAAGATGACTTACTCAGTGGGGCAACGGGCAGGCAACACTGAACATTAAGGATAGCCATGATTATACAAAAGGTTTTCATAGCTTTGAACCAAAGTCCCCTAAGCCAGAAACCCCACAGAAGTCCCAAAGTGGCCAACTCTTGGTGGAATGTTGAAGAGGGGATACTGAGGACAGGGCCAGCTCTCAAGACTATAAGAAATGGAGAAAGAGAACTTGGTCTTCTTTTCCACCCTCCCAAAGAGATACTGTCCTGACAGTAAAGGGGAAATTTCAAGGGAAAATGAGAATTATTTTGCCTAACTGTGCCAAGGGCCTTCAGTACCAAAGTTGCCATATTTCCCTTTATGTGCACAACAGAATCCGGGTTTCCCTTTAATCCTATTCTGAGCTCAAACGTGAATGAAATGTAGGAAACTGACTGATTGGATTGAGGGTGACTAATCCAAAGTGTGAGTTAACAACTGTAGCTCTGCAGTAAGCTCCAGAGAAAAGCCCATATTCTCAGTGCTTTAAAACTTCTAAAACACCACAGTGCTCTTCTTAGAGAAGAAAGCTAACACTAATGAGAATAGCTGCCTTTTATCAAGTTCTTACCATGGGCTGGGCACTGTGCAAGCAGTTCATATATACAATTTTATTCTCACATCCACCCTGTGCCTTGGGTACCTAAAAACCACAAAGAGTGGGTTTAGGTTGGCTAAGCAAGCTAAGCACTTGGCCCAAGGTCCCACATGCAGCTAGGAAATGGGAGAGCTTATACAGGGACCCAGGTTCATTTGGCACCACAGAGCTCCTGTGCTTTCTTCCCCTGCAAATAAGATGCTTGATGAAGCCACCCTCTGAATTGTTGCTGGTGTAGTTGGCAGGTATTAGTGCTGTTCAAAACACTGAGGGGAGTTCTCTCCTGCAATTTTCTTGGTGGTGGCAAATCCTCATCTTTTAATTTGATTTCTGACAACAGCCAGACACACAGCATTTGGAACCAAATTTGGTGGATGAGTGTGCTGGATGAATACAACTTTGGGCTGTGGATCTAGTTCACTTGCCTGACTCCTTCATGGTTTCTAAAGAATTCCATGGGAGAATCCCCATGTGCTCTGAGCAAGGTCAGGAGCCCTGGAGCAAAGGAAGAGACATCCGCACCAGAGTCTCCCAAGAATAGAGGTCACTGACTTCACTGCATTCATAGTCCACTGAATGGCCAGCCACACAGCAAATGCATTCTTAGAAAAATGACTGTCCCCATCAAGTAAGTACCTGTGACTTTAGAGTACCTGCCCTTAAAAGCCCTTCTCAGTGCCCTGCTTGCTTTCTTGCAGCAGCCCACAGAAATTCACACCAGTGGCATCTTAGACAAGGCTGAGCAATGTTTCCCCTCGAGGCATCTTATACAATCACAGGTTGGATGCTCATGTTTTAAACCCCTGACAGGGTAGAGGGCCATTAAGCTGCTCACTTTAAACAGCTGCAAAGAAAATACTCAGAACACATGGACTTGCACATACATGCAATTTCTTCTCATATCTTGGCACCTCTGGCATCCCTGTCCTTCAAATTCATATGCTGGCTTTCTTTACTAATCCAACTATGAGTTATCATTGCTTTTTTATAATTCTTATAAAATTACATGAATCTTTTATTACAGCACTTCCTACCCTATATCATGATTAATTGTGTACATGTCATGGGTGTGGCATTTGGAAAATTATTTAACTTTTCTGAGCAACAGCTTCCTCATGGTAAAACATGGTAATGATGCCTACCTTAAATGCCTCCCAAAATACCTAAAGGGGATTTTGAGGTTTGAAAGGGGTAAAGCATCACAGTGTCTAACAAACAGTGGAAAACAAATGTTGGCTCACTCCTTTCCTTCTCTGCATATCGTCCTCCCTACTAAACTGTAATATTATTATTATTATTATTTTTTTTTTTGCGGTACGTGGGCCTCTCACTGCTGTGGCCTCTCCCGTTGCGGAGCACAGGCTCCGGATGCACAGGCCCAGCGGCCATGGCTCACGGGCCCAGCCGCTTCGGCATGTGGGATCCTCCCGGACCAGGGCACAAACCCGTGTCCCCTGCATTGGCAGGCAGACTCTCAACCACTGCGCCACGAGGGAAGCCCTAAACTGTAATATTATTGAAGACAGACAATAACAAGTATTGGTGAAGATGTGGAGAAATGGGAACCCTCATACATTGCTGATGAGGATGCAAATGGTATAGTGGCTTTGGATAAGTTTGCAGTTCCTCAAAAAGTTAAATATACAGTTACCATATGACCCAGTAATTCTACCCAAGAGAACAGAAAACATACAACCATATGAAAACTTAATACGTAAACATTCATAGCAGTATATTTATGGTAGCCAAAAGATGCAAATAACTCAAATGTCCATCAACTGATGAATGGATAAAAAAGATGTGATATATCCATACAATGAAATATTTGTCAATAAAAAGGAAGGAAACACTGACACATGCTACAACATGGATGAACCCTGAAAGAAGCCAGACACAAAAGGCCACATATTATATGATTCCATTTATATGAAATGTCCAGAATAAGTATATCCACAGAAACTTCAATAAAGCTGCTACATTAAAAGAAGCCATATACGTGATACTATAAAATATCAAATGGTTTCCCCATCATCCAACATTTGCCCCCAAGGAACTGGTCATTTCCCAGAAGGGACAACTATTTCATAGTCTGGCATGTATCCTTCTAGATATTTTCTATGCGTATACAAGTAAACATTTAAAAAATACACATTGTTTTGGTAATTTGTTTTTCTCACTTCATAAAATATTATGGCCATTTTCTATGTTAGAAGATAAAAATCTACTTGATTTTAAAAAATGCCTGCATAGCAGTCCATTATATGAATATCCCCAAATTTAACAAGTCACTTACTAATTGAGCATTTGGATTATTTCCAGTTCTTTGATATTATTAATAGTGTTGTCTTGAACATTGCAGAGCACACCTGTCATATTTCAGACTGCCCAGTACCTTCTAAACACCTTTCCCAGACTTGGAATTAGGAAGCCCATCCCTGGCGTAAATGGCAGAAAACTGCTTTTCCAGCCTTTCTTGCCGTCTGGTGCAGGCATATGGCCGAAGTTCTACCAACTAGACTCCAAGTGGCAATGAGCATGGTGAGTGAGGGAATGTATGGTAAGCAGACTCCATTTTCTGGTGGAAGAAGTGGTTGAGATATCCCCTTCACCGGGGCAGCCCTGCAGGAAGTTTGAGTGTTCCACCTGGCTGCCTAGCCAATACAGCCTGACCCTCCTAGAGACTCTGCAAGCTATAATGTACATTAGTAAATTCCTCCCCAGCTAGACATGCTGGGGTGGGCTCTACTGTTTGGAATTAAAAATTCTGCCTGAAACAAACACCCCTATACATATATATCTTTGCACATTTGTAAAAATATAACTGTATGATAAAATTTGAGCAATGGAATGGCCATATTTGTCTCCAAAGAGATTAAATCATTTTACATTCCTATCAACAGTGTATGGAAAAAAAAAGAGTGTATATGTGTACCTATTTTCTTACACTGTTGCAGTATAAAAAATCACCCCAAAACTAAGTGGCTTAAAATAATGATGATTTATTATTTCTCATGATTCTATAGGTTGAATGGGCAGTTGTTTTGGCCTGGGGCAGCTCAGCTGGGGCTGATGATTATCTAAAATGGTCTCACTCACAGGCCCAACTGGGGTCTCAGTCCAAATGGTAGGAATGGATGGCTGGGCCTCTCTCTCCACATGGTCTTTCATCCTCAAGCAGCCTAGCCCAGGCTTCTTCATATGGTGGTCTTAGCTCCCAGAAGCAAGAGAGGGCAAACCCCAATGTGTAAATGCTTTTCAAGCCTTGGCTTGTTTCATGCTTCTTGATGTCCATGCTTCTTGATGTCACAATGCCCAGGTGAGAAGTAGATTCGACTCTTCAGGTCTTGATGGGAAGGACTGCTTCTGCTGTGGCCATAATTTTAATCTACCACAGTTGGCTATGTAAGGATGGATTCCTTCCTCCCTTCCTCCCTCCCTCCCTTCCTTCCTCCCTCCCTCCCTCCCTCCCTTCCTTCCTTCCTCCCTCCCTCCCTCCCCCTCCTTTGTTTCTTTCTTTCTTTCGGCCATGCCATGCAGCTTGTAGGATCTTAGTTCCCCAACCAGGGAGCGAACCCAGGCCATGGCAGTGAAAGCACCAAGTCCTAACCACTGGACTGCCAGGGAATTCCCAGATTGTTTTTGCTTTTTAAAAATTTATGGGCTGGGCTTCCCTGGTGGCACAGTGGTTGAGAATCTGCCTGCTAATGCAGGGGACACAGGTTTGAGCCCTGGTCTGGGAGGATCCCACATGCTGCGGAGCAACTAGGCCCATGAGCCACAACTACTGAGCCTGCACGTCTGGAGCCTGTGCTCCACAACAAGAGAGGCCGCGACAGTGAGAGGCCCACGCACCATGATGAAGAGTGGTCCCCGCTTGCCACAACTAGAGAAAGCCTTCGCACAGAAACGAAGACCCAACACAGCAAAAATAAATAAATTAATTAATAAACTCCTACCCCCAACATCTTCTTTAAAAAAAAAAAACTTATGGGCTTAACACTGGCCCACTTAATTTTTTTTCTTAATGGAATGGGATTAATGTTATTTAATAACTTTCTATTCTTTTTTTTTTAACCAAGTTTTTAAAAAAAATATATTTATTTATTTACTTGGCTGAGCCACCGGGTCTTAGTTGTGGCACATGGGATTTTCTAGTTAAGGCATGTGGGATCTAGTTCCCTGACCAGGGATTGAACCCGGGCCCCCTGTGCTGGGAGTGCAGAGTCTTAACTGCTGGACCACCAGGGAAGTCCCAATAACTTTCTATTCTTGATCATGAGTCCCATAATTCTCTTATTCTATTCCACATGCACCCCATGCACATGAAACAGAATAGCTCCACAGCCCATGCACAGGGGCTAATCATTAGTTTTCCAACAGAGCATTAGTAAATCACTATAGTAAATTACTTTCTGGAATGGATTCAAAAGTAAATTTGGAAATTTCTCATTAATATCTAAAAACTGAGCAAAATCAGTAATTTTGATTTATTGACAAATATTATTTTTGATCTCTTATACTTTTTTTTTTTTTGGCTGCATTGGGTTTTCATTGCTGCACACGGGCTTTCTCTAGTTGCGGTGAGCGGGGGCTACTCTTCTTTGCGGTGTGCTTGCTTCTCATTGTAGTGACTTCTCTTGTTGCGGAGCACAGACTCTAGGTGCGTGGGCTTCAGTAGTTGTGGCTCACGGGCTCTAGAGCGCAGGCTCAGTAGTTGTGGCGCATGGGCTTAGTTGCTCCATGGCATGTGGGATATTCCCGGACCAGGGCTCAAACCCGTGTTCCCTGCATTGGCAGGCAGATTCTTAACCACTGCGCCACCAGGGAAGTCCTAATCTCTTATACTTTTTAATCCACCTGATTTTGTCATTTATATTTTTATATTCCATAACTATAATTCATATACTTTACCCTTATTTCTATATTTAAAGAGATTATATGCTTATCTTTAGCTTGTTTATTGATTTACTTATTTAAATTCTCTTCAAGGACACTTATTCCTCACATGCTGGCACACTCATTTATTCCATAGACACTTCATGAGCACTTACTATGTACTAAGCATTAAACAGAAATGATTTCTGTCCTCGCAAAAGCTAAATCTGTATTCTATAATTCCTCTCTTTTCTCTAATTGTCTTCATTTCTTTGTCTATTTCCTCTCAAAATTTTTTTTTGGCTGTGTGGCTTGTGGGATCTTAGTTCCCTGACCAGGGACTGGATCTGTGCCCCCTGCAGTAGAAGGGAGGAGTCCTAACCACTGGACCTCCCGGGAATTCCATATTTCCTTTCCATTTTGTTTTAGCAGTGTCTACTTTTACTTCTCACTGCTTTGAGATTTTCATTTCTATAGTGAAATTTTTATTTTCTTTCTAGGACTCTAACAGTTTATCTTTCAGCTGCTTTTGTCAGCTAAATTCCTTTTCCCCTGATCTTTTCTATTTAACTGCTTTATTTATAACCTGCACACCATAAAAGTTACTCATTTAAAGTGTACAATTCAATGATTATTTTTAGTAAATTGTTTACAGAGTTGTGCAACCATTGCCACAATTCTGTTTTAGAACATTTCCAATACCCCAGGAAGATCCCTCCTCCCCATTTCCCCAGACCTTTTATATCTCTTCCTTGAGCTCTTCCCTCACCACCCTGTTAGTTTCTCTTCTCCTTAACTTTTTATTGACGGTGTAGAAGAGTGCTTGTCTAGAGTGTAACCTTTGTCTGTTCTTTGTTTATTACTATCTTTTCCTACCTTTCTATGTTAATATGTCTGATAGTGTCTAGTCCCCTGTTAGACCCCTTTCTGCTTTCATTCATCTTTAAGTAAAAACTTCAGAAAAAGAAGAGACATGGATGGTAGAAAGAGTGGCATGTAAGACTCAATATGGCATTCTGAAGTACACTGGGGATGCTCAGCATTCACTACAATAACCTAACCTAAGGCAGAAGGAAAAATAGACCACCTTAGCTTTATTATGGGAGAGCAGAACCTAGGTCAGAGCTAAAGAGAAGGGAGAATGGTGAAGACATTTCTTGGGATCAGTTAAGGTGACTAGGGAAGTAACTTCTAATGTAAATTCTACGAGAAGTCTAAAGATATCAACTTGGGACTCAAGAAGGGAGCTTTTTCAGATGAAGATCTAAGGATAGATCAGTCAGTTACCAGGAGATGACAATAATATGGACTAGCCAGAAAAACCACATGATTAAAGACCTTGGATACATTCTGCTAGGCTAAAGGGAGAGGAAGTCAAATAGCTCTATGAAGGGACACTGTAATGTTTGAAACTTCTCAGTGAGGATTTCTCTCATGATGAAATAGGTACTTCTAGATACCACTGGGGCAGTATAAACTGCAAAACCCACTCAGAAAGCAATTTGGAAATATGAATAAAGAGTAATAAAACTATCATACAATTAATTAATAATATATCTTTGAGGAATCTATTCTAAGGAAATTATCTGAAATTTCAGAAATTTATATGGATAAAGATGTTCTCATAGCATTATTTATGATAGTGAAAAGCTGGAGACATCCTATGTGACTAACAATGGGGAGCTGGTTAAGACTATTATGTCCATACATGCACATAATGATTACATACCCAATCAAAATGTAATTACCACTGTAACTGCAGGAACATATATATGTTCACTTACATAACATGTCTATACGTTAACCTAAGAAGAAGGATATAAAATTATATGTATACCACAACTGTAAAAAAGCATGCACATAAAAGACCAGAAAGGAATTCACAAAAATTATAATAGTTAACATTGAGTGAGATTATGAGTGAATTATACTCAATTTTCTTTGTTATTATATTACTTCCAAAGTAGAAAAAAAAAGTTCACCTGTTTGTAATGAGAATAAGTGTCATTAACTGAGGTAAGATGCTTTAAGATGGCTTAACCACATGAAAAAGTATCTGTGAGGTACTCCAAGTGCCTTGGGACACAAAGCCCCTCCCCTGCAGTAAAGAGGAAAATAAAAGCCTGCCATAGGCATTCTTTTTTTCTGGGAGAAGCTATTTCAAGTCCCACTGTCCTAGAAGGGTGACTTTTCAGTGCACAAAGTGGTGAGAAGCTGCCAGTCCAAATGGTAGCTCTGAGGACCTAGCACTAATCAAATGACAACTGGGCATTTATTACATATAAGGTAGACTGATGCATTCCAAAAGATAAACACACGTAAAGATGTGCCTCCTACTGGGAGATGGGAGAAAACTGCTTTCTGTACACTTAAACACAACACACCCTGTGGGCCAGAAGTGGTCCTAAGTATGTACCTGTGCTCCATGTAGCAGCTCAGGGGCTCCACACATACTGTGATGGCACCAATGGTGAAGGAGGACTTGACATTTGAATCTGGATGTATCTGCAGGGCCTGGACAACATCAATAACATCTGTGTAGCTGGGGGGGAAAAAGGGAATAATTAGTTTACCGATTGGCGCTTTAGAGTGCGGGAAGAGGGGTATGCTTGCCGAGTGGCTGAGTAAGGGTGGAAGGAAAACCAAAAGGGGGAGACTGTGACTAGGTTCCTTGGGGTCACCCCACTTCATGATTTAGAGCCCCTGGAGTCCACAGTGCTTCTGTACTTCCAAGTTCCATTAGTTCTAACCGCAAAAGTGAGTGGAAGAAAGAACCCTACTGCCCACTCCCCTTATGAGAAGCCTGCAGGTGACCCTGGGGCTCTGAGGGTGGGACTTGGTGTTTTCTAATCAAGTTAGGAGCTCCCGCATTGGTATATTTTCTTTAATAGCTCTTTCCTCTCCTTTCATCTCACAGAACATGCAGGCAAGAGAAAGAGGGATTATGAGACATATCTCCAAGTCAGTAGACACATGTCAAACACCAACTGCATTTGTATCTCCTGCCTGGAACTCCCTCCAGGGCCAATTTGATGTTTTCAATTACAACTTAATATGTTCCTGATCCAACTCTCCCACATCTGCTCCTCTTGAGGTCTTGTCCTTCTCAGCAGAGGAGATTCCACTCTTTCAGCTGCGAGGCCAAAGGTTTGTTTGGCATCTTCTTTTACTCCATTTTTTCTTAATCTTTAAAATATAACTATGCTCATACTCCCACTCTACCACTGAGTCCAAACTGCTTCTGTCTTTGTATCTCCCTATAACCTGTTTTCAACACAAAAGTTAGAGGGGTCATACTAACCCCATCAGGTAAGCCACTGAGTGAGTGGCTTCCATCCCCCTCAGCCTGAAAGCTAAAGCTCTTACAATGGCCCACACAGCCCTCTAAGATCTGACCCACACTGCAGGGATGAGTTTAATTTCTTACTATTTCTTCCTGTACCTGAATCTAACTACTCTGACCTCCTGGCTCTTCCCTGAATGTGCCAGGTATAATTTCACCTTTGCACTCTCTGTCCCCTCTCCTGTAATGCTCTTTTCCTCAGATGTCTGCAAGCCTCACTGCCTCAACCCCCTTCGGGTCTCTGCTCAATTGACATCTTATGAGAGAGGTGTCCTCTGACTTCATGCAGCCTATGGGATATAGCAATCCTCTCTCTTGATACTCCCCACCCTCACCCCCACCTCACCCTGACTACAGCTACATACACTGTATTTTCTAATTTGTTTATTGTGTGTCTCTGCAATAAGAATGTAAGGTAGTTGCTGGGTGCTGTAATCAATGGTGCCTAAAGCAAGGCAGGTGAATGAACTGGACATTGAACTCCAGGCAGACCCCTGGCCACTCCAAGAACATTGTCCTGACTGACCCAGTCTATCACAAAAGGTCAATTCTTAAGGAGGAAAAGGCAAATCTGATGGGCAGCCTTGCTGATCATACAGACCTGGTCTTAGCCTGGGGCTGGGGGGATAGGTACAGCCTGCCTGGGCTATTTCCTGAGTTCCTACAAACAATTCATCTGTACAACGGTACTTGACTTTACTCCACACAACAACATTAGCACCCCCAACCCCAGGTCCGCCTCAGTCCTGACCAAACAGCAGTGAGCGCTTCAGTAGAGAACATGGTGTGCTAGGTTCTACAAAGAGCGAGCCCTCTGCTCCCTGGTTTCTCTTGAAGGCTTCTCCCACTGCCTGGGCATGTGTGTATATGACCATGTAGAGTGCTTTCCACTGGTTCTGTAGTGTTTGGATGGTCCTAGATGCTAGGAGAGCCCCTCACACTGCAGTAACACTCTGGTAAGCAGGCCTGAAGCTTACAAACTGCCTTAAATCTCTTTGTAGCTGTGTTTAATGGCCTTAATGCTCATGGTGAAGTGCCCTAGCCTTGCTCCTCAGCATCAGCTTTTTCCTCCTCTTCTAAAGAAAAGTGTCTGGGGGCTTTTTACTTTCCATGTCTGGTACAAGCTGCAGAGACTCTCATTTCTTAGGGTTAAAAAGAACTGAAAGGGACTTCCCTGGTGGTGCAGTGGTTAAGAATCCACCTGCCAATGCAGGGGACATGGGTTCGATCCCTGGTCCAGGAAGATCCCACATGCCGCGGAGCAACTAACCCTGTGCACCACAACTACTGAGCCTACGCTCTAGAGCCCGCGAGCCACAACTACTGAAGCCCGCGCACCTAGAGCCCGTGCTCCACAACAAGTGAAGCCACTGCAATGAGAAGCTGGTGCACCGCAATGAAGAGTAGCCCCCGCTCACCGCAACTAGAGAAAGCCCGTGTGCAGCAATGAAGACCCAACACAACCATAAATAAAAAAAAATAATAATCTTATAAAAAAAAAAAGAACTGAAACATTTATAAGTCAGTCCTGAGGATTTTGGCAATTTTAATACAATACATTTCCCTTAGACAGGGTGACTGGGGAATTCCCAAGTTTTCAGAGGATTACATTAATTTTCACTGATTTTAATGGAAAAAAGAGCAAAAAACAGGCCCCAGGCTTCTTGGTGAGTAGGTGAAGCATCTGGGCACTGCAGCCAGGAGCCACTGAAGCAGACAGCAGGTCTTTGGTGTCAATCACTCTACTTGTTAATGGTGTGCCTGCTAATGCCCTCCCTTACTGCCCAGCCCCTGCCTTATAACCATCCTGGGCATGGCTTCCAGACAGCAGGAGGCAGCCCTCACCTCAGAAGGATGCACACCGATCCAACTGATGAAGCCTGTACCTGGCCACTCTGGCTAAACTGCCCCAACTGCATGATGAAGGCAAAAAACTAACTCTTTGTGTTGCCTCTTTCTTGTCAGTATTCTCTTTATTAAAAACAAAAACAAGGGCTTCCCTGGTGGCGCAGTGGTTGAGAGTCTGCCTGCCGATGCAGGGGACACGGGTTCGTGCCCCGGTCCGGGAGGATCCCACGTGCCACAGAGCGGCTGGGCCCGTGAGCCATGGCTGCTGAGCCTGTGCGTCTGGAGGCTGTGCTCTGCAACGGGAGAGGCCACAACAGTGAGAGGCCCACGTACTGCAAAAACAACACAAAAAACCCCCCAAAAACAGAAATGAAAAACCCAGCAGGGCTTTAACTTTCTTTCCTCTGAAACAACCTATTCCATACAATTGTCTTTCGGGCTCTATTTTACATTTGCAATTTAAGCCTACAATTTTACCTCGTTTTACATTCAATTTTTGTTTTGAGCAATACTGTTTTAAATGTAGATAATGTAAAGAATAATTTTACAATGTTCCAGAGTATAAACAAACACAGCCCCTCAAATTCCTTAAAATTATTAAAACTCAGATTTCCGCAGTTTTACTTATTTGTGTATGTATTAAGTTCTATACAATTTTGTCACCTGTGTAGGCTCCACCACCACGATAAAGATACCGAACAGTTCCGCACCACAAAGCTCGCTTGTGTTGCCCTTTTATAACCACACCCACCTCCCTCCTGCCCCCAACTCCCATCCCTAACTCCTGGCAACCACTAATCAGTCCTCCATTCCTAAAATTTTATCATTTCAAAATACATTAATTTTTAAAACAACAACCTAATAATCCACTTGATGTCAAAGCTCAGCACCACTGCCCACCTGCTGCAGTAAGTAGAATGGGACCAGGCCACTCTAGGGGCAAAAGAAAACTCTGCCCTACAGCACAGAATCCTGTAAATCAAAATAAAGGCCACATTCAAGGAATAAAATTCTCAACTTGAGAAGCCTCTGGGGTGTCCCCTCACCAACAACCTCAATACTGGGCTCTAAGGCCCAGCCCCAAGGAGATGGACATGCTACAAAGAGGCTGCCATGTGTTCCCTGCTGTGCCTCAAGAGAATGGGCCCAGCCTTTAATAACAGTGTCATAGTGAGCACCACAGCAGGAAATCCATCTGAGGTTCCTAGTGTCCTGGGGCTATGACTGGGCAAGAACTGGGTCTGAGAGTACAAGTGGGCTGGCCATACACTGTCACTGCAGTCCAGAGCAGCCAGGACAGCTAGCACTTTTGCAGACTTGTACAGTTAGAGACAAGGAGTCAACAATTCTAAAGTAATGGAAGATGGAAATGACCTCAGCTGCACAATGTCAAGCTACCAAATTTGACTCCAGGTCCACACCCCCAATGACTCAACTCTGGAGAAGCAGCAGGAGGTGATGAAGCTAGGCCAACCCATTCCTTTGACCATTAGAAGTGATGGAAAACAAGTGGTTTCTAGCCTTCTGGCTCTGTGGCTTCCACAACCTCAGCCCACTAGTAGGACAAAAGGGTCAACAGAAGGGAAGCCCAAAGCAGGTGTAAGAACAAGATCTAAAGAAGAGGAAAGATGGCCTGGCAGGGCACATACTCCCACCTGCCTCCTGCAGCACCATCGGCCTGGCTTTCCTCCAGTCCTCACCATCACACCCCAGAGACCAAACAGGGTTTTGGATCCGGGCCTATTCTCTACTGGAAATAATTAGCCAGTTGCAAATACTAATTATTATGAGCACAAAAAAACACAGCATAGCACAAAAGCACTTTGTGAGAACTGCCAAAAGCTTCTTTATCACCAACTATAATGACAGCAGCAAAGAGCACAGCCCATGTTTTCCTGATCTGACACGTTCTCCTCTGGGCCCAGGGGATGATGGGCCTGCTTCCTCCCTGGAAGCTCTTAGAACAGGTCAAGGGAAGCTCCTTGCAGCCAGGGCTCCCCAAGCAGTGGTACACACTCCGAAACTGTCCTCACAGGGAGCTCCTTGCCCAACTGGATTATTCATGCTCCTCACTGAGGGTCCAAGGAAACCCTCCTGCACTAGCCATTCCGTGGATGATGGGGCTCGAGACTAGAGTGTGGGGACTGTCTCTGCAACTCCACAGGAGGGAGGACTGAAAAAACTGAAGCTCCCTTGCCTCCGTGGCAAAGGAAGAAGCTTAGGGACCATTACTGTTAGAAGAATTATCAAAGAATCTTGCCCAGAAAACCACCTCCCTAACTCTCTGCCTTCTGAGGATATTATGATGTTGAGGCCAAACTTAAAACTTGTGTGCAATCTTCACCAGTCACTCTGGGCCACAGGATGGCAACAGTTCTTGTTGAAGGCATATCTGTGTAACACAGACACTTCTCATGCATGTGTGTTTGTTCTGTGCCCCAAGTTAGCCACACATGAAATAACAATAATGGCAAGGTCACCACCCTACCCCACTATCCCCAAAAGGCTTCCAGCACTCACCCTTGTAACACCACCAGTAGTCTGGTCTTCTTGCGTATGTAGGCTGACTGGCGGGCAGAGCAGTTCTGTTGGGCCTCCAGGGCACTGGAAAGGTATCTCTGGAAGTGGGCAGCGTGAAAACATTCGGAGCTGTCCATGACTTGACGGTATACCATCCACCTGGAAATGGCAAGTGTAATCTCAGCATGAGGACCAGGCCCATAGGCTCTGCCAGTGGATTCAAATGTGACCAGTACACCCACAGACTCTCTGTCCAGTGAACCCATACAGGAGAAAGCAATCCTGGCACCACAGAAACAGGCAGAGTGCACTGGCTGGGTGGGGAGCCCTGTATCCTGCAATCACTACCACTGGAGCTTTTGGCAGGAAATGCCTTGCCACAGGAAAAAAGGTCAGATAAGCACATGACCAACAGATTTCAGAGTTGAGAAAGACTCCTGAACAGGCAGTCACTTCCTGAAAGATCATTCAGTAAAATGGCTTCAGTCCAGTTTTCAGTAAAATTCTTGCTAAGAATAAGTAATGGGGGGAGGGGGAGTTCCCTAGGGGCCCATTGGTTAGGATTCGGCACTTTCACTGCAGTGGCCCAGGTTCAACTCCTGGTTGAGGAACTGAGATCGCACATGCCACGTGGCACAGTCAAAAAAAAGAATAATGGGATAATGGGTAGGGTGAAGAATTCAGATTCTTTACAGAACAAAAGCAATGGAAATGAGGGAGGAACTGGTTAGCTATTGAGTACTTATGAAGGAGGCTCCCCACAGCGCCCCCCCCCACAATCTCCCACTCTAAACTCCCAAACTTCTAGGTGATTTCAGTCTTCTCAATTCTGCTATATGGCCTCCTGCAGGATGCCTTGCCTTTTTTTAAAAAATAAATTTATTTATTTAATTTATTTATTTTTGGTTGTGTTGGGTCTTTGTTGCTGTGTGTGGGCTTTCTCTAGTTGCAAGTGGGGGCTACTCTTCGTTGCGGTGTGCGAGCTTCTTACTGTGGTGGCTTCTCTTGTTGCAGAGCATGGGCTCTAGGTGCACAGGCTTCAGGAGTTGTGGCTCGCGGGCTCTAGAGCGCAGGCTCAGTAGTTGTGGCACATGGGCTTAGTTGCTCCGCAGCAACTAAGTGGGATCTTCCTGGACCAGGGCTTGAACCCGTGTCCCCTACATTGGCAGGCGGATTCTTAACCACTGCACCACCAGGGAAGCCCAGGATCCCTTACTTTGAGGTAGACCAACTAGTTATTAAAAGCCTGGTCGGGAGGCTTCCCTGGTGGCGCAGTGGTTGAGAGTCCACCTGCCGATGCAGGGGACATGGGTTCGTGCCCCGGTCCGGGAAGATCCCACATGCCGCGAAGCGGCTAGGCCCGTGAGCCATGGCCGCTGAGCCTGCGTGTCCAGAGCCTGTGCTCCGCAACGGGAGAGGCCACAACAGTGAGAGGCCCGCGTACCGCGCAAATAAAAAAAAAAAAAAAAAAAAAAAGCCTGGTCGGCAAGGGTTGTTTAGCAATCTGCCAGCCAAATGGAAGTGATGCATGATGATTTCCCCAATTTTGCCTAAGCCAGCATGTCCCAGTTCCACCTGAGCTCACGCAGTCCCCTTGTGGTCACGGAAGGATCACATCCACCAGCTCTCAAGTTCTAACCACCTGGTCCTGAATTCCCCTGCTGACCAGGCACATTCCCAGGTCTCTGCCCATGCTGGTCCTGCTGCTACAGGGCTCTTGCCCAGATACCCAAGGGTTCATTCCCCCATTTCCTCAGGCCTTTGCTCAAATGTCACCTTCTCAGTGAGGTCTTCCCTGAGTACCCAATTTAAAACTGGAATCCCTCCCCCAGCCCAGCACTCCCTATAGCATTCTCTGCATTAATTTATCCATAGCACTTTTCACTAGCTAATATACTATTTTCCTTATCTGGTTAACTGCCTATCTTGCCAAACTAGAATACAAGCTCCATGAAGGCAGAGATTTTCTCATCTGTTTTGTTCATTCGTCCCCTACAGTTAGAACAGTAACTGGCATACAGAAAGTACTCGGTATAAATGTGTTAAATGAATGGATGGATGGATGACCACTGCGCCGATACCAGTGACACCAAAGGTCAGTGCGTGTTGAAGGTTTCCCAGTGCCAAGGCAGACCCAGACATAGAATCCCTTTCCCCAAAGCAAAGGCAGCAGCCATACTAACCTGCCGTATTCCTTATGCAGAGTGACCAGAAAAGCACAGAGCTCGCTAGCATGACAGCCTGGGAGGCCAGTTACAATGCTGATAATTACCTACATGAAAGAAAAGCCATGTGGGTTTGTGATTCAACTGGGAGGCAGCATTGTGTAAGAGGTTAAAAGAACTGACTTCTTGAGCCAGGTTCTATGGGTTTGAACCTCAGCACCAGCACTCACTAGCTATGTGACCTTGGGCTCACAACAGAATCTACCTTGCAGGGTGGATGTAATGATTAGCTGAGTTAATATATGTAAACAAAATGCGTGCAACAGTGTCTGGCACATAGCAAACACCATATACAACAATGTAGCGTTACTATAATAATTTCCACGGAGCAGGCTGTGACTAGATCAGTCTATGTGTGAACAGATAACTAGTGAGAGCCTGCTGTATAGCACAGGGAACTCTACTCAACGCTCTGTGGTGACCTAGATGGGAGGGAAATCCAGAAGTGAGGGGATATGTGCATAAATATGGCTGATTAACTTCGCTGTACAGCAGAAACTAGCACAACATTGTGAAGCAGCTATACCCAATAAGCTAAAAAAACAAAAAAAGTATAATGGAAAATACTGGGCAGAAAGGAGGTTTGGGACAAAAATGCCACAGGCTAAATTGGTGTCGTAAACTCAGCGAAGGAGGGGAGTGGCCTGTGCCTTCCAAGCCACAGGGCCTGAGCTAAGGAAACAAACTGGGTGGAGGAAGCACTTCTCAATCTTGATGGGGAGAAGAGGTGCCAGGCTGCACTTTCCTAATCTTGGCACACGACCACATGAAAACAGGGCCCTCTGCAGGCAGACATTCCAAAGCAACTCAAGAAATTCACCAACAAAGAAGGGGTCAAGCAGAGGAAGAAAGGAACCATGCATTTGCTGAAGGATAACGATGTCAGTGACATAGCATGGCAAGGGCTTCTTTAAGTATGTTTTATTGCACAATACACAAGACTCACTGGGACAGGTCTGGAGTGAAGTTCAACTTGGTGGCACTCATCACTTGAGCTAGTCCCATCAGCACAGAGATGGCTATGGATGCCTCTTTTATGGGAAACAGTTCTCCCTCCTCCCCTCTGACCAGACCCTTAGTCTGTATCCCTTTCTGTGCCTGTGGGCAGTACTCCATGTAACTGACTTTCTGTTTATACTCTTCCCATCCAAATTTCTCCATCTTGGTTCCCATTCCTCAGCACCCACGCCTCAGCCTCTCAAATCCCAGCAAACATGCTCACAGCCAGATACCTTCTTACTTTAAGGCCAGTCCTGTAGCACTTTGTTATATGAAATATCAATACATATATTAAAAAAATATGTAAAATATAACATTTTCATTTTTAAACTCTTGCTTAAGGGAAAAATGAGGCTTCTGACTGCTTAATGCTTCTATTTCCTTTTGCAGCTGAGTGTCTTCTAGATTTGCACAGAAATAAATGCCCTCTTTGAGCATATTATGACATATGGTTCCAAAGAAATGGTGGGAGGAGTCAAGAGGAGAGGCGTGTGAAGCAGGAGCAGATTAAAATCCACTCTTGGGAAGACAGTGTTTATAAAGTGTCACCTTATCCTGGTGGTGCTAGCAAGGTCTCGCTAACACTTCCCCTTACGAAGCTCAATATGTCAGGTAAGTCCTTGCAACCAGAAAGAGCTGATGGCATGAGAGTACTGAGCAGGAGTTTGGAAGACCTGGAGGAGCAAGGGGAAGGCACAGCAATATGCCAGGGTTTCATCATTGCTATGGGGCTCAGCTGGGGTTAATGTAGATGCCTGTACACAGTCATTATATAGAGCAGGTTTCATGTGTATCATTACATCAGTATCCAGGGAGGTGGAGAGTCTTATAAAAGGGACTCTGCCTGAGCTCCTTTTGTTAACTGACACTGAAGATTAAGGGCAGGCTATCAGGATTATCTTCCCATGAATTCCCAGCTTATTTGGTGAGCTGCTGTACCTTGTCATTTTCTACTGTGTGAGTAGGGTTGATTTCAGCTTGCTGCAGCAGGACAGGGAGATGGGTCCTCATCATGGGTTCCCGACTAACGCTGCTGACGGCAAAATGCTGGAGAAACCTAGAAAAAGAAAGACAATGCTATTATGTTACCATCACCAGCCTTGCCTGAATGTGCCCATTCACATGATAAACTTATTTAATTGCTGAAAAGAAACCTTAGTGAATATCTCTAGAGAATAAAATTGTATATGGTGTGTCACTACTACTTTTTATAATTATTCTTAAGAAGCTATAAAGAAAGAAAATGGAGCTTAGAAAGCACCAACTCTGAGGTTTCTGACATTTCAAAAGTCAGAAACAGAAAAACAGAGCTCACCCATCCAGCTCTGGGAGTTTGGCTGAGAGTAGCTTTAGAGGACTCCGTTTCTCCCCAGCAGAATGGCTCAGGACACTGAAGAGCTTCTGTGCACTGGAGTGTCTGGAATATCAAAGGCTCACAGATTAGAATTCCATCTCTCTACAGCAAACATACTTTACATAACTTGTTCTGATATTTTCAAGCCAAAGTCCTGAGACAGAGTCAATACTTCTAAAACAAGCATCTCACTGACTTAAGCAAAATTCGGCATTAATGCAAGATGACTGGTTTGCCCACATAGGAAGCCTGGCCTAAAACCTTTGGTAATACTACAGGTGTCTGATTCTTGGTGGATTTCATCTCTCTTGACTTTTGTTCCCCAAGGGCACTGGCTACCTGCAAGTTGGCAGCACTGGAATGATTGTGTCGGCCCTTTCAGAAGCCAGGACCCCTGTGTTACATAACACAAGTCATCCTGCAGAGAGAGCAGACACACACAGCCTAGGGAAGCAAGCATAAACACTGAAGGCAGCCACTTACAATCTCTTTTGTTCCACAGATAATCCATCTTCCTGGATCACTTTTAAAGACAGCCCTGAGTTAGCCTGCTGTTGCCAAGGGGAGAAGACCTAAACAAAACAGAATTTGAGCAAAGAACACTTTAAACCCAACAACAGGATATGGAACCCACATGGGGATTTGATGGCTGTTGAAAATCTAGACTGTCAGTACAGAGAAAAACCATAACAAACAAGTTTGTTCCAAAATTAGAGGCCTGAAGCAATTCTGTTCTGTATTTTTAAAAACTAGAATTTCTTTCTGGGTTCTTCTCCCAGGGATTCTGCTCCTTAAGAGGCCAGGAAGCACAGAGGAAGGTATCAGGTAATACTGTTCTGGCAGCAGGGGCATGTCTTCCCTGGTGATAGGGACAGACAGAAGGAGTTCAAGCAACTCCTGCCTAGAGGCAGAGGAATAGCTGAAGAGAATCTCTAGGTTCCTAGACTGAAAGGACAAGCACAAGGAGGTAGAAGGACCAGCTGGCAGTAAGATGGAGACACAGACACGTCCTAAAAGCTGCTCTGCAGCCAAGGCCAGTTCTTGCCTCCTCCCTGTTCTACAAATCTATCCTGAGGGAGTGACTGTCCTCTCAAAAGCTGTTGCATCACACCTTTCCAAGCATTTCCACCAGAATAAGACTGGCCATTTGTATGACTCTGGCTACTGCTTGGTCTCTAAGTAGGCTGTATAATTCTTGGTGAGCTCCCTCACTCGTGCAATCTGTGCTGAAAGCCTATGGTGTGCAGCCTGCCAGGTGGAACCACTTGCAAGGGCAGGGCCTATGAACCATGGGGAGGGAGAGTTTGGGGTGGGGTAGAGAGCTCTGACCCAGTAGGTAGGGCCTAACAACTCAATAAAGTAGCTAAAAGGAAAATGAGTCTAATTATGACTTATAAGGGACAAAGAATATTTTTCTTAGAAGTTAGAAAGCCTTTTGTTCAGTTCCTTTAGGTTCTCACCTTTCAATGGCAAGAGTCTATTCCAGGACCCAAAAAGATCAGAAGCAGCCACCCTCACACCAGCCCTCCCAACTCTCCCTCTCAGCACCTCACTGTTAGCCCTGAAACATTGCCTTAGCAACTAAATTGCTAGGAAAAAGGGTAGTAATTGTTTTGCTGAATAATGATTGATGTTACCTCTGAGTAAAATGTTTGGTATATCTTGGATTTGGGGAAAAGGGCAATCATCAGAAAATTGTTTGATCCACGGAAATGAACTGGAAGATGGGGAAGCAATGAACTTTTGAAGTCTATCAGAAGGGCAGCAACAATACTGGTGGAATCCTAAAGAGAAAAAGAGGGAGCATCACTGAGAAAAGCCATATGCATGATACAAGCCCTCACATCTACTGTCAGAACACATATGGTGAATGTCAGTCCAGTTATTTTCACATTACGTGGTTTACTGGGATTCAGTTATAGATGTGCTTACCCACACCCAGTTTTAGGAGATATAGGAAGTACAGGGTCTTTTCTCCTAAACTGAAAATATCATCTCTTCCTAGGATATTAATCCCTTATCGGATAAATGATTTGCAAATATTTTCTCCCATTCTGTGGGCTGCATTTCACATTCTTAATAGAGTCTTTTGATGCAGAGAAGTTTTAAAATTTGATGAAGTCCAACTTACATATTTTTTTTTGTTGTCTGTGCTTTTGGTGTCAAATCCAAGAAACTGCTGCCTAATCCAAGGTCACGAGGATTTACTCCTATGTTTTCTTCTAAGAATTTAATAGTTTTTGTTCCCACATTTAGGCTTATACTCCATTTTGAGGTTTTTTTTGTATACAGTGTAAGGTAAGAGTCTAACTTCATTCTTTTGCATGTGGATATCCAGTTTTTCCAGCACTGTTTGTTGAAAAGACTGTCCTCTTCTCATTGAATGATCCTGGCACCCTTGTTGAAAATCATTTGACCATATAAGCAAGACTTTCTTTTTGGGCTCTCTATTCTGCTCCATTGGTCTACATATCTAATCTTACACCAATATCACACTGTTACAATTATTGTAGCTCTGTAGCTAGTTTTGAAATTAGGAAGTGTGAGTCCTCCAACTTTCTTCTTTTTCAAGATCATTTTGGCTATTTTGGCAAGGGAGTCCCTTGAGATTCCATATGAATTTCAGGATGGGTTTTTTCATTTCTGCAAAAAACGCCATTGGGGTTTTAACAGGAATTGCCCTGAATCTATTGATTGCTTTGGGTAGTACTATCATCTTATTTTAATATTAAGTTTTCCAGCCAATGAACGTGGGATGTCTTACCATTTATTTAGGTCTTCTTTAATTTCTTTCAGCAATGTTTTGTGGATTTTGGTGTTTTAAGTCTTTCAACTCCTTGGTTAAATTTATTGGAATTGTTTCCTTTAAGAACCGTTTCGGATTATTCACAGTTTGGGTACAGAAATGCAACTGTTCTTTTATCTGTTTATTTCATATTCTGCAACATTGGTGAATTCATTTGTTAATTCTAACAGTTTGTGTGTGTGTGTGTGTAATCTTTAGGAATTTCTACATATAAATCATGTCATCCATGAACAGAGCTACTTTTACTTCTTTCTTTCCAATTTAAATGCCTTTTATTTCTTTTGCTCGCCTAATTGCTCTGGCTAGGACTTCCAATACTATGTTGAATAGACGTGGCAAAAGCAAGTATTTTCGTCTTGCTCCTGATCTTAGAGGAAAAGGTTTTTTTATAAACTCAGTTTATATATACTTTAAAATTTTTATTTATTGATTTTTGGCTGTGGGCTTCTCTAGTTGCAGCACATGGGCTTAGTTGTGTTATGTGGGATTTTAGTTCCCCAACCAGGGACCAAACCTGGGCCTGCTGCATTGGGAGCGTGGGGTCTTAACCACTGGACGGCCAGGGAAGTCCCTTTTTTTTTTTTTTTAATAATTTAAGATTTCATTATGAAAGTCATATGTTCATTAAATAAAAATTTGAGAAAAATATAAAAATAGAATAGAGAATAAAGGTTAAAAAAATTAATCCAAGGTCCCATCACCCAACTCCAACTACAGCTAACATTTTAGTACTTTTCCTTCTAGTCTGTTCTTCCTATTCATTCATTGAATTCCCATTTTTATGTACTGGGAAATCATATTCACTTTTACAGTTTCATATCTTGCTTTTAAAACTTAATCTACCATTCGCATCTACCATGTTGTTGTAAACTATCTGTAAACATTTTCAAAGGCTGCATCTGACTCCCCTCTTAGCCCACCACTATGACTGGACATTCATATTATCAATTCCACTTCACCTTTTGTTTACTTCACTGTACCTTTTATCTACTCTTTACTAATTTACTAATTTACATTAGTGGTAATTTACATTAGTGGTAGCATGCATCTGATGTGCTTCCACGTATCTGTTAACTAACCTCACGTCCTCTGAACATCCATGACCTGGCACTCAGTGTTTTCATGTTGATAAAGTTAGAGCTCTTCATAGAAAAGAAACAGCAACTCATTTTTTTTTAATCACCAAAAACAGTTTTCCTGGTTTGTGTTTTTGTCTTTTAATTCCCCTTTTGAATACTTTTTAGAGTTTTAAATTATTAGTGTGATAAATTTTATGCTACATCCATACAGTGGAATACTACTCATCAATAAAGCAATAAAAAGGAAAAACTATTGATACACACAACAACATGGATGACCTAAAAATCATGTTGAGTGAAAAATGCCAGGCTCAAAAGGGTACAGAATGTATGATGTCCATTTATATAACATTTTAGAAAATGCAAACTAATCTACAGTGACAGAAAGCTAGTAAGTGGTTGCCTAAAGCCAGAAGCTGGGGGAAAAGATGATCTGCAAAAAGGTATTAGAAAACTTTTGGGGGGTGACAAAAATCTGTATCTTGACTGTGCTGGTGGTTTCATGAATACATACATCTGTCAAAACTTTAAACAGATAGTGTTAACTGTATGTATGTATGTATTTATAATATATTTTATTCAATCGAACATATCCAAAATATTTTAAATGTAATCAACATAAAAATATTATGAGATATTTTACATGCTTTTTTTTAGGTATAGCTGATGTACAATATTATATAAATTTCAGGTGTACAACATAGTGATTCACAATTTTTAAGGGTTATATTCTATTTATAGTTATTATAAAATATTGGCTATATTCCCTGTGTTGTACAATAAGTCCTTGTAGCCAGTTAATTGCACTTAGAGTATATTTCAATAAATTATCAGCAAGAAGTTAAAAAATCCTTAAGTGGTCAAATCTGACAAACTGTTTCTTTAGAATTTCTTGTATCACTTCTAAGCTTAGATTAGAAAGTCTTCCTGTCCCTAAAGATTTAATAAATATTCATTTTTATATTCTCCTTAACTGGACTTATTGTGGTGATCATTTAATAATATATATGTCTAAGACAGTAGATCTTAAAAGTTCTCATCAGAATCTGAAAAAGAATGGATATATGTGAATGGATATATGTAAATGTATAACTGAATCGCTTTGCTGTACACCTGAAACTAATACACTGTAAATCAACTACACCCCAATATAAAATAAAAATTAAATTTAAAAAAGTTCTCATAAGAAAAATAATTTGTAACTACACCCTTCTTTCTACTTATGAAATTTTAAACTATTTAATTTTCTCAGAAGTTTATTTTCATTTTTGATATGAGTTAAAAATCCATCCCCACCCACCCCAAAATTAGGTAACTTATCATTCCAGCCCTTAAGTTTCACCCTTTCCTTCCTGATGTTGGAAGACTCTTTAACCTAATTAATATCAAATATCAAAGCTTTCACCTAATATAGCCATCTAACCTGTCTGGTTGGTCTGCCTGCATTTTTGAACAGCCTTTAAGGAACCAGGTTCTATGTGGAAGAAAGACATAACTCTTTCTGACTTGCTCACATAATTCATTTTCAGAGCTATCTGACCAAACCACTTTACCTGGTCTCTGTCCCGGCTCCCAAACAAGCTGGTTTTGAGGCTGAGACCACACAGGGTGGAGGGCCTGCCCTCTGCTCTGGTGTCACACTGTGATGAGCTGTGCCCTGGCCAAAGGGTACAGGCTAGGGGAAACTCATAGCTACACCTATGGCTCACAAAAGCCTCTCCATGACTTTCCTGCCTGCCTGCCTCAAGGGCAGCGCTGGTTCCTAACATCCTGCCCTGTGGTGGTAGAGGGAAGACAGGGAGTTATTTGATTTTCCCTCAGAAGTGTGAGTATCTTTCTGAACATCAAAACCATGGACTGTAAAACACCTACCCCATCATAAAACAAAACGGAATTCATGTGATCCTTGGAAATGATGATATTTCCGTGATGACGGTCAGAAAACAGAAGTCCACCAGAGAAGAAATGTACTTTCCCTGGAAGGAAAAGAGATCTGGTAAGAGCTGGAGGGCTGGATTCTGGGGGCCAGTATCACAGCGTTCTTCCTGCAGGTTCCAGGCCAAGACAGAGTGGTAACTAGAGACCATCTGAAGTGCTTAAGTTAAACGATCTTTATGCTGAGAACTGTGCTCTGAGAAAGCCAATGTACCCTCCTAGGGCCTCAGAGAGAAATGAGGCATCAGATACAGTCTTTGCATAAGAATTAGAAAAAGCAACAAGTGAGTAAGTTATCAGCTGATGGAGAGAGGCAAAATTCACATTCACTTATGGGTGTCTTCCAGGGAAATACACTAGAAAAGACTTTGGGTATATCTGCTCCATTACTGAGTTTACAGATGCTCCTTTCTACTATTTTGGCAGAAGGTGGCTCAGCTCTGAAATGACCACATCTCTCACATAAGGCCCAAGAAAGAGCACTAGGGCATCAGCTGTTGAAAGAATGGTGAAGGGTGCTTAAGAGCCCCTTGCCAGGAAAGGAACATGTGAGTTAGGCAATAAGTGAATTCTACAGACACTGGAGACTGCTGTTCTGTAGTTCCCAAAAGCAAGATGGGTGGGACATGGACACTGAGTGTGGGTTCCTTAGAATAAGGATTCAGGTTTAAGGAGAGCTGCTTGTTTCCTGGGTGGCCAAGGTTACACAGCAGCTCAGTATGGGCCCTAGGGAGTAGATCATAGAAATGATGGACACTAAGGTGACAAGGGTTAAGGCTGGGCCTGGGCTTGCTTTGGAGACCCAAATGAAGCACCCAGGGCACCCATAAGACCCGTAGGTGAAGCTGCTCTCTGGAATGGTCCAAGCTGGATCCTTCCTATTCCTGTAATAGCCTTTCTTTCCATGTTTTCACAAACAGAGAAGAGATAGAGTATTTCTTAGAGCTCAAGGCACAGGCTTGGGGAAAACCGCCAATATCTTATTGCTGAGGCAGAGGACATGAGACCAAGAAGAGGGACTGATTCCTTGAGCTGTAGTTCTAAAAAGGCAGCCCCAAAGCTGTGTAAGTTGTAATGACAAGAAGAGCAAAGGCCAAGTTTTGAAGGTTTCCTGAAAAGGTGGGGTTTCAGGAGGCAGAGAGGGGCCTAGAGAGTATGTGTGCTTGTGTGTGTGCATGTTAATGGGGGGTGGGGAGAAGTGGGGGAGGTGGAGGCAGTTTTTAGGTACTAGAGGACGGTTTGAAGCCTGAATCTCAACAAATGAACAAGACAACCAGTCAGCGGGAACTAATGCCAACCTTACCAGCCAGCCCAGTTCAAGGCACTCAATGGTTCAAGTCCTGTAAGTCTCCTACCCTCTAACAAGTAAAACCTAGCCTCACCTACACACAGTCTTGCCCTATGGCCCTCTTGAGTGGAGGCTCCTCATGCCCCAGCCTCATCCTGCACCCATGCCAAGGTTCATCACTGCTGTTCCCAGACCATTCCCTCCCAAAATGGCACAATATTTTCATTCCCTCAGAGACTCATGCCCCTCCTTTCCTTCACTGCTCACATCTACTGCCCTCCTAATTATGCTACAACACTTCAAACAGCTTCTGAATGTGTTCACAGTCTTCTCTTCCAAAGCCGACACTCCCATTCCCTCTGAGAGATCAGGGGGTGGGCCATGCCACGCTCTGGCCTTGCTGCTCCTCAATGCCAGTTCCATACCAGTAAAGCAGCACCCAGAATGTCTTAACTTCTGAAATCTTCAGCTCCAGAACCTACTCTCTGACTACAAAATGCCATGATACTTTTAACTATCTCACTCCCCAAACCTCATCCCGTGATGTCACTGAGACTTTGAAGCCTTCAGTTCCCCCATTTTTCCCTTATTGCTCAGAAATTTCTGACTTTCCTCTCATCCACATTCAGGGCCAATCCCCAGGGACAAGACAAACTTTTGATCTCTGTTTTGTCAGGGAAAGGGATGGGAACAGATTTTATTTAGTATTTACTAAGCACCAACCATGTCATATACATTATAGTTTTCCATCTTTGCAACAACTGTAAGAGTTAGTATTATTTTTAGAGGACTGATGGGAAATTCAAGCTTAGAGAGATCTTCCCAAAAGTCATAGAACTGCTTGATAGTGGAGCCAAGTACAGAACACAGGTTTGTCTGATGCCAGGGCACTGTACCATGCTAGCCACTTCAATTCTCTTTTTCCCTTTACTTCTGCTCTACCCACAGCCCATTCGTGGCTAATATGATGAAGTACCTTCTCTGCTTGCTCAACCTCAACAAGCCCTCAGTGCTGCCTGGTAGTCCCACCACTGCCATCTCCTTCCATCAACTCCTCCAGGGCCCAACCAAAGCCCTTAACACGCTCCTAACACCACAACTTCTTAAACTCCAGCCACAAGATGACTCTACCTACTGTTAAAGAGGAAAGAGGGGTCAACAGGTGTAATCAGGTAGAAACTGCTCCCCCACCTACTGCTTAGTATCTGGACCCTTCCATGTCCTGGGCTCACCGTCCACCTGTATACCTCTAACATGAAGCTTCTCAGGAACAAGTACCACTCAAAGGCCTCCTGGACAAACCTCAGAATCACTCCAAAGCTTCCAGAAAACAGCACATATCTGAGAGTTGGTACATTCCAAGTAGTCACTGGGAAGATGGGAAAAGAAGTGGATCAGGGTGGTCATCTCCAGCACTTCTTCTCCCCCTAGATTCTAAAGCCTCAAAACAAAATGGAAAAGAGGCGGAGAGAAATTCACAAGGCAGTGCTGGAAAAGTACTCACTATGGGGCCTGGCACAGGGCAAGAGCTGATTTTAGTACTGGTGCAGACTGTTCTGTGTTGCAACTACCCTTTGCTCTGGGAATAGTAACTCTGTTATTATTCTCAGGGCACACATGAGATAACTGAAGTCTCTCACTGGGTGGTCCAATGCCAGTGCCCCAGTCTCTTAGATCCTAATCCATTTGAAGTAGTAACACTTCCAGTATCTGTTCTGGACTTGTGACTGTCAAACTGTTATCTGATAGGACATGCCTTTGCAAGGGCTTCTCAGTGACTGGGGGAGCCAATTCCTGATGAGATCTCCCTGGCTCCTTAACCAATCCCTGGTGCCTTGCTTAATGGGCTCTTTCATTCCTTCTCCATTCTGTGAGTCTGAAAACCCAAGGTAAGAGGAAGTTCCCCCTCAGTACCCAAGAAGTAGCAGGGGACTACAGCAGGGCTGTCTTTGACTGACCTCTACATCCCCGGACATCTAACAGGAACGAGCCCTCAGGGCAAAATAAGACACCAAATGTTAATGAAGAATTTGGCTTTTCCTCCTTCAGACAACTGGCTGTACAAATAAAAACCCCTGGACTTCCCTGGTGGCGCAGTGGTTAAGAATTCGCCTGCCAATGTAAGGGACACGGGTTCGAGCTCTGGTCCAGGAAGATCCCACATGCTGCGGAGCAACTAAGCCCGTGCGCCACAACTACTGAGCCTGCACTTTAGAACCCTTGAGCCACAGCTACTGAGCCCGCGTGCCTAGAGCCCATGCTCCGCAACAAGAGAACCCACCGCAATGAGAAGCACGTGCACCACAACGAAGACTAGCCCCCACTCGCCACAACTAGAGAAAACCCTCATGCAGCAAAGACCCAACACAGCCAAAAATAAATAAATTAATTAATTAAAAAATAAATAAATAAAATAAAAATCCTCCAATGGTCCAGCCTGTGTAAAGAGGGAATATTATCACTGCTGGGAAAATATTATGATGCAATGGCTGGGTAATTTTCCTTCTGTGTGTGTGACAGTATGTGAAGTATACACATATGATTTAAAGAAAAAAACCTGGGCTTCCCTGGTGGCGCAGTGGTTGAGAGTCTGCCTGCCGATGCAGGGGACGCGGCTTTGTGCCCCGGTCCGGGAAGATCCCACATGCCGCAGAGCGGCTAGGCCTGTGAGCCATGGCCACTAAGCCTGCGCGTCCGGAGCCTGTGCTCCGCAACGGGAGAGGCCACAACAGTGAGAGGCCCGCGTACCAAAAAAAAAAAGGAAGAAAAAAACCTAAACAACAACAAACCCTGATGCCTGTATATGCACCACTCAGCTTAAGAAATCAAGTATTCCTAGTGCCTTTGAAGCCTCCTCAATGTCCTTCCTCAAAGGCCCTCTCTCTTCCACCCAGAGGGAACCAACATCCCAAATTTTATGTAGCTTTACCATACTTCAATGTATCTATAAACTATATATGATTTAGTCTTGTCTCTTTTACTTTCATACAAATGGAATCTTAATACATGTGTTCTTTTGTGACTTGCTTACTTGTTTCAGCATCCTGTTCCTGAGAGTCATCCACACTGTAGGTAACACGCAACTGTGGGTAATATGTATGTTGTAGGTATATGCTATATAATTCATTCATGCTCAGTGCTGCAGATAAATTTCTCTTTTAAAGTGTCCCTCAACAGTTTCATATCAGCACAAGGGAACACATGAGAGGGTGTAGAATGAAGCAGATGGCCACTGCCTGGGCCTTCCCATCACAGGAAGGTGAAACTCAGTTTGGTCACCAGAGTTCTCAGACTTTATGTGTCAATGGTACCAGCATCTCTGCTCCTCATTGCTAAAAAACCTGTGCCTGATGGAAAAAATACTCTGGAATCTGTAAATTGCTACAGGGATAATGAAGGTGCTGCCCGAGGGCCAACCATTCACTGAGGCTTGTAGGAAATAGTAGATATATGGTCAATTGATATTCAACAAAGGTGCAAAGACAATTCAAAGTAGAAAGGAGAGTCTTTTCAACAAATGGTGCTGGAAAAAATGGATATTCCCATGTAAAACAATGACCATCAATTCATACTTTGCACCAGATATTCTGCCCATTCGCACCAGCCACAGTGGAAAACCTCATACTTCATAGGGATGGCAGGTAGTGTTCTCAGAATGATTTTGCCTCACTACCGGGGTAAAATTAGTCCTAAACTAAATGCTGCTCTGCTTCTTGCCTAACAAAGCTTAAAAGACAGGCCCAGATGATAAGAGTAGAAGAGAAATAGAGCAGTTATTATCACTGTATTCCCTATGTTCGCGGCTAGAGGAAAGACTGAACCATGCTAACCTGAGATATGGAAGATGTAAAAAATGTCTAAATTGAACTTCTAGAGATGAAAAATACAACTTCTGAGAAGAAAAAAACACTGGATAAGACTAATGACATGACAACTGTTGAGAGCTTAGCTACTCTGTGGTACTGCTACCTCAGCATCCATCTTGTTTGGCCAAGCGGCCTGCACGGGCCGTAAACTGACACTAGCCCCCTCATGCAAGCGCGTGCCCTAGACAACAGCCTGCAGAGTCACAAGCAAATGTAAGTTCCTGATATGACTTTCCCAGAAGCCCTTGTCATCAACAGTCTCCCCTGCCTCCTTAGTGCCTTCCCCTTGTATGCCCCTTATATAAGACCTCCATGGAGCTTACCAAAATTCCACTCTTTTTGGTTTGAATTGACCAGTTTGGCCTTAGCCAAAAGTCTAAGGAATCCCAAAGCACTCCAACCCACAGACCCTAATAAAGGCAGGTACCCAGGTCCAGCCTGCACCTTGCCTTGACCACTGCCCCCTGCCCCCCACACCTCCATGTAGCCCCTCAAGGCATGCCATTTCAATTTCTTTTGTGGTCTTTTGTTGAACCTGGCTCACCATCCAGCAGCCTGTGTTCCGTTCAACAAATGTTAATTTAACAAACTCATAACAACAATGCAGAACAAAAGATTAGTAAATCAGAATATGTAGAAACTATGCAAAATAAAACATAAAGAGAAAAAAGACTAAAAATAATTGTACAGAGCATCAGGGAGCTGTGGGACAACTTTAGGCAGCCAAATGTATGTAACTGGAATCCTTGAAGGAAAGGGGAAAAACTGAAGAAATAATGGCCAAAAAATTTCCAAATTTGAGGAAAACTCTAAATCCATCAATTCAAGAAACTAAATGAATCCCAAGCATAAGCAACATGAAGAAAACCACACCAGTCACATAAAGCTCTGACTGCTTAAAATCTGTGATAAAAAGAAAGAAAATCTTAAAAGCAGCTGGTAATAAAAGACACCTTATATAGAAAGGAACAAAGATAAGAATGACAGTAGATTTCTGCTCAGAAATAATGTTAGTAAGAAGACAGTGGAGTGGAGCAACATCTTTAAAGCACAGAAAGAAATGGTCAACCTACAATTCTTTAGCAAGTGAAAATATCTTTCAAAAGCCTCAGGGTTGGGACTTCTGAAATGGCTGTGAGGAGTCTGGAAAGTTCTCTCCCCAGGAAGCAGCCATAAAACTGGACTGTCAAAAACAACTAGTTAAGGACTCTGGAAACGGACCAAAGTTATACAACAAAACTGAGAAGCATTTAAGGAATTCTACTGAAGCTTGGTAAGAACAGTGGAAATCTATGGTATTTTAGCTTGGGGCTATTCACATTACCTCCCCTCCAGCTCTGTGGTGCAGAAGTCTTATGAAGGAGAGAGGTTGGCCTGCTGGAGTGGCTGACTTTATCTGGGGGCAAAGCACAGAAAATTCCATACGTAGCGATATCAAAAACCAAAGCAATCCAAATGGCAAACATGGGACTTCTCTGGTGGCGTGGTGGATAAGACTCTGTGCTCCCAATGCAGGGGGCCCAGGTTCGATCCCTGGTCAGGGAACTAGATCCCACATGCATGTCATAACTAAGAGTTCATATGCTACAACTAAGGAGCCGGTGAGCCTCAAATAAGGAGCCCGAGAACCACAAATAAGGAGCCCGCCTGCCGCAATTAAGACCTGGTACAACAACAACAACAACAAAATAAATATTAAACAACAACAACAAGTGGGAAACATTCAGGGAAGACCAACGTACCAGAGATCTCAATGCTGGCTGGTACAATCAGCCAGAAATGTAACAGGAAAATCAGAGGACTGAGACCATAGATGGCAATTATGTCTTTACATACCACAAGAAAGATGTGTTGTAAGGCACTGTCCTGGTGCCAGGTGCACCAAGAGACAAGTACGGGAATGCTCATGAGAGCACTGTCTGCAATAGCAAAAAACTATAAACAACCCAAATGTCCATCAAGAGTCAAAAGGATAAACAGCATATTTTCATACAAAGCAATCCTATGGAACCATGAAAATGAATGAGCCTTATGGCTACGCACAACAATCTGGATGAATCTTACTTAGGACCAGAACACTGAGTGAAAAAAGCAAGTCCCAGAAGAACACGATAGAGTATGATCCTAATTTGTATTAAATTCAAAAATAAGACATTGTTTAGGGATATAGGCATATGTGGTAAAACTCTAAAGCAGGCTCCTGAGGATTAGGTACTGGGCAGCTTGCCTGACCAAGGTCAGCAGGGTAGGGAAGAGAAGGGCACATAAAGGAAATGAATGAAAAGGAAGCTGCATAACAAAAAGTCTTTTGATAGCAGAAGTCACTAACTGGGAAAGGGAAAAGATACCAGAGCTGGAAACATTTCAAGGTAAAGGAAGTACTATTCTTTTTGTCCATAAGTAGTTCACTGGGCCATCCCTAGACCAAAAATCAAAAGACCTGGACCACCCCCCGAGATGTCACCACTAACTTGTACTATAACCTCAGACCCATTTTTCACCTTCTATGGGGCTCAAGATACGAAGATCAATCAAGATAATGCATGCTGATGAGCTCTTTAAATGCCTTCAGAGGATGGGAACAGATAAATCTCAGTCTCAACTCCAGGCATATTTACCTAGATCCAAATGACATTTAAGCTTCAGGACCCCTCACCTGCTCAAGCCCCTTTTCAAGGCCCAGAGAAGAGACTTAACCCTTCTGTATGTACTATTTTTCCTTAAGAGAGCCCTGAAGTGGTATAAACTTCAAACCCTATAAAACTGACCTGAGCCCTGAAGTGGTGAAATGCTAAATACACAGCCAGAGGATACTCCTATTTAAATTCTCTGCTCTACTGAAATTTCCTGCCTCAGAAAACCATCTCCTAAATTCAAACTACATTTTTCTCAGGAACTAAGAAAGTGTGAAATCTAAGCTCTCAAGTGTGTGACTAACAAGGCCCAAGAAATTCCTGGCTTTATTCGTGTGTAGAGACCTCAGGATACACTGAATCTTGCTGGATAACTCAATACAGTGTAAGATTATTTTTCTAACAAGGACTTTTGCTAAGAAGGTGCAAACTAATTTTGGCAAATATCCTTGCTAAATATTATAACTGGCTCAACTATGACACAGCACAACCACCTCTGTGTTGTGTCTACAAGCTGATTTTAAAACATTATGCAACTCTGCCTCAAGGCTGGGGGTACTGTCACACACTCTCCTGTCTTTGGCAAAGGTTCCTAACTTCCTGGTTTTTTGCACCAGGATCTGGAGAGGCAGAAATGCAGGGGGCACAGCATGATAAAAAATGCTACCTGGCATTTTGTGGATCGAAAACCAGGACTCCTTGTGCTTTATCTTCTATGACAACGGAGGAGCCAAGTTTAACCAGTGATCTGAGAACATGGAGAGCAACTTGTCACTGGAGAGAATATTTTCAAGAAGAACAAATTATCCAGAGAGAGAATTTGCTTAGTAAAGGATGAGGAATTTGTGGAGTAAGTCATAACTCCTCTTCCACAAAAAAGGCTTATCTAACAGGGAAAGAATAGGACTCATAAGAAAATGTTATTTTGAGGAAACCAAAAAGGAGCATGGAATGAATCCCCAGGAAATCCATGTAAGACCAAAACAGTTCTTGAGAATTCTACATCAGCAGAAACACTGCCAGCTTGGACTGAAAGGGATAGAGAGAATAGAAAAATGAAAGGAGACTGTTGGACCCCCAAAATTCTAGCGGCAAGAAGCAGGCTGATAAAACTAGTCAGCTACAAAGTGCCACCTTCATGAAAAGGAAGAACGACAGAGGTATAGCCACAGACCAGAGGGCAGAGTCATGAGCCTAGAGGGCAAAACTAAGAGTTTAGAGGGTAGAACCAAGAGCCCAGGGGGCAGAACTAAGGGCCATGGAGGACTATTCCTAGGCCTTGAAACCTAATCTAGGAACTGGAGTTTGTCTAGCTGAATTTCAAAGCTGCCTTGGGGTTGGGACTCCTTTTTACCTTTCATTTTTCCCCCTTTTTAATATGAATGTCTATAACTGTTATCCTATGCCAGTCCTACCTTGTATGTTGTGAGGGCTGGGGCAGATAACTTGCCTCTAATTTCACAGGGCTACAGATGGAAAGGAATTGTGTTCAGGACCTGTACTTTATGAAATAGCTCCAGAGCCTCACGTACAGCTGATTTAAATAATCTTGATGATGAGATTATGGATTTTTCAGTTGGTGAGATTTAAGACTCTGAATTGTTACCATAATGGAATGAGGCTTGTGGGTGGGGGTGATTATATCTTGCATGTGAGAATCGTGGGGCCCAGAGGGCACACTGTGATAGGCAGAAATTTAAAACAGCCCCCATGATCTTCATCCTCTTAGGTTACTCCTGTATTCATGTAACATTATATGGCAAAAGGGAGATTATCTGATTGGGCCTCCTCTAATCACATGAGCCCTTTATAAGCAGACTTTTCTCTGCCTGGTAGAGGAGGAGTTCAGAGAGATTCGAAGTGTGAAAGAGATTCAACACAATTAAGGTTCTTTGTTGCTGAGATGGAGGGGGTCACAGGGCAAGGACTCCTGGGAGGAGGAGTTAAGAGTGGTCCCAGTTGATAGCCAGCAATGAAAGAGGCCCCTCAGTCCTACAGTCTGAAGGAAATGCACTCTGCAAACAACCTGGATGAGCTTGGGAGCAGGTTCTTTCCCAGAGCCTCCAGATATAAGCCTGGTTAATGCCCTGACTTCAGTCTTACGAAACCCTAAACATGAATCCAACAAAGCCTTCCTGGACTTCTGACCACAGAACTGTGAGAAAATAAATGCATGTTGTTTTAAGCTACCGAATTTGTGGTAATTTGCTACACAGCAGTAAAAAACTAACCCAGGTTTTGTTTTGGCCCAACAGAACCTACTTCTGGACATGTTGCTGCTCTAGCCCATTCTGAGAGCAATCCTCAGGCAGCAGCAAGAGGACCAGGTGCAGTTCTGGCACCAGTCCTTTCTAGCACAAGTTTCCTCATCTGGAAAATGGACAGATCAAAAGAGAAAGCTTTTGTAAGTAAGAAAGTAAGTAAGTAAGTAAGAAAACACTTCTACACCAACAAGTTTTTTCAGATATCAGATGTATTATTAATTACAACACTCATGTTGAAACCTGTGAAAGAGGTACCCAGACAGAGTCAAAAACAGAAAAGTCAGAGCCGCTCACCTTCCTCAGGCCAAGACTGTTGATTACTAGAATAAAGATACGCCCCTTCTCCTCTAGTTAGAAAAGTGCCCAGGAAACACTCATCTCCCTTTAAAAAACAAACACAAAGAGCAGGTGATTTACAGCATAAACATTCAGAGAATCAAAAGTCCTGCCCAAGTTAGTCCATCTACAGAGGCTGCTAAGTCAGCCTCAGATTTACCCAGCTTCTTTCATGGCCTTTGGCACTGCTTGGCTCTTTGCCATGTTACTGGTATTCGTGACTCGTGCTGAGAAAAAGAATGTTAAGGTCCTCTCTGAGTCTAGGCACCATGGTCTGCAATGCTTGTTCATGTTCCCGTAGATTTATATCCTCTGATAAAAGAGGCAGCTTCTCCTTGGCCTAAAGCCTTGACCTCTTAGCTCTACATGTCTAGGCCAATTTGAGATCTGCATGTATGTAATTTATTTATGCCACACCACGTGGCATGTGGGATCTTAGTTCCCCAACCAGGGATTGAACCCGCATCCCCTGCACTAGAAGCGGGAAGTCTTAACCACTGGACAGCTAGGGAAGTCCCTGAGATCTGCTTTTAAAAGTACTGGGAGATTTTGAAAAAACACCTAAAGGTTTAAGTGGCAGAAAGAATCCCTCTAGTTTGTACCCCATACATGGTTATTTCTAGAGCTCTGCTGGGAAGGGGAAGAATACAAAAAGGAAATGAGACAAGAAGGTACAGAACATTTAGATTAGCAGTAAGAGGAAATATTTTAAGTTGTTTTATAAACTGTTTACATTTCATTTTGATATGATGTTAACATTAAGAATAAGAAGGCTGCTTACCATAACCGATTGCTGGGTTTTCTCAGAAAATTTTACTTCAATATCTTCTACCTGTGTCCAAAAGGAATGCAGATTTTCAGTTTACTACTTCAAAGGCAAAACTCTGCTAGGTCTCCCTTGTGTTCACATATTTCTACGAGAGCAGTCCCTCCACCAAATCCAGTGTTCTCAGGCCCTGATGGCTGGCAGAGCTGGCTGCTGGTCACAAAGCTCAGAGCACCAGGCCATGATGGGCTCTCTCATGGGGACCTGAAGTCCAGCTAAATGAGCCTACGATATGTGGAGAGGATATGTTAGTCTCCACTTACATTTCACTTCGGAGAAAACTATTTTTAGGGGTGAAGGAAAGAGAACATTTTAAAGTATTTTGAATGTGTTCTCATTTAAACATATTCACATTAGAGGATGACTCTTGCTCTCCTCTATTCATGTCAGGATTGTAGAAACAGAATATAAACAGATTCTGAAATAGGTACTCAGACCATTACTAGACTCACTGCTGTCATATTTTCTGTGTCCCAAGGCACCAGAGTTTCAGATCAAGTCCCACAGATGAAGATGGGACGATTCCACATGTAGAGACGTGGTTGTAAAAATTCAGCAGCAACTATTCTGACCAGAAAAGGGAGCACATGATCCACTTCTCACTTTCCCTGTGACCTTGGACAGGTTGGTCAATTTCTAAACCTCAGTCTCCTCATCTGTAAAATGAGGGTGTTAATTTTTCCCTTTCACAATTTAACAGGACCCAGATAACTGAGTTCCTTTCTTTTGGAACTTTTCCAAGATTATAAGAAAGTTAAAGAAACTAGATTCGTCTGTATAAAGAAAAAGAGCAGAGATAAAAACTTCTATTCCTGAAAAGTGGCTAGGTAAGGATCTGACATCCCACCAGGACCCAATGAAGAGGCTCTTCCTTAAACGTTCTCCCCAGTTTCTCCACGTTTATGTCCACTTTCACCTGATGAATGACACTAACCAGCCAGGAGCAGAATCTGGGTATGGCAGCTGTCAGGATTATGAAGCTGGTTTCTGTGGTAACAGTGCCATCTGCAGGAAGACCATAGATATGCCGGTTACTGCCCACCACCAGAGCCCACCTTGCAGGCCCCAGACTGCTTCCCCTTCTCAGGAGTGAGGGCTCCTCTTATTAGTATACAGAGTCTGAGGCCTTCAGAAAATGAAAACTTCCTCATTTGGGTACAGGGAGTCTAATGAGGGGATGGAGAAAGGCTTCCCCATGTGATTAACTCTGTTCTTTTTACACCAAATAGAAATACATATTTAAATAAAGAGTCCATTTTATCTATACTTTTAATTTTTGTCAAGGTAGTACAGATGTACATATTAAAAACCAAACAAAACATTATCAAGCTCATCCTACTAGCACTGGATATTATCATTCTCTAGAATTTTTTGCTAACATAATGGGTAAAAAAAAATTGTTTTTGCTAACATAATTTGCTAATTATTATTTCAAATTGCTTTTTTCCTGACTACTAGTAAGGCTGTACATATTCATATATATATATATACATATACATACAGTGGACCCTTGAACAATGTGAGGGCTAGGGGTATTAATCCTCTGCACAGTTGAAAATCCATGTGTAACTTTACAGTCAGCCCTCTGTATCCACAGTTCCACATCCACGGATTCAACCAACCATGGAACATGTAGTTCTGTAGTATGTACTTACTGAAAAAAATTTGTGTATACGTGGACCTGTGTAGTTTAAACCTGTGTTCAGGGGTCAATTATGTGTGTCTGTGTATGTATAAACATTAAAATATATATTTTTTTAAAATATTAAAATTTTTTTTTTGTTTTCCACTCTGGTAAACTGCCTGCTCATATTTTTTGCTCATTTACCATGGGGTAGCTTGTCTTTTTCTTATCAATTTATAAAAGCTCTTCATAAATTAGGATATATACCCTTTGTTTATTTTAAGTATTCTAATATTTTCACCAGTTTATTGCTGGTCTTTTGATTTAGTTTATGGTTTATTTTGCCAAAAATATATATATACATATAAACAAGTTCAAGTTTTGCTTTCCAAAGATGACATACACTTACCCTTTTCTTTAACCAAGATCTGAGATGTCAAAAATGATTCTGAGAAGACCACAGATCCTAAGCACCCACTTCCTCCCAGCAAGTCAGGAATGTCATAGATGGTCAAACAAGCCTGTATCAAATAAGAAACCAGAGCTAGTCCAATTGTCAGTCCTAGACATACAGGGAAAAATCCATAAGAAACAGACCACAAAATACTAAGGCACATGGCAAAAGAATACTGGAGAATTTCTAAGGAAAACTCAAGTATATCTTGAAATACATCTCAAACTGGGAGATGACTTCAGGATCACCCAGGCTTTTTGCTCCTTGGTCAGAGGCACACTTGGGCTAGATGAAGAATATCTTTACGTTTCTGTAAATTCCCTCAAATTGCTTATCCTCCCTAAATGGCAATGCAACAGCCTTCCTTCTTAACCATGACCAGTGTCACATCCCAGTGTGTCCACATGTTCATCCACTCCTTCTTTGGTTTGGGCTCGAGTTCTGAACAAATCTGGAAAGGGGGATACATGTCTTCATGGATATTTCTGGATACCTGTCAAAACATGCAAATGCTCCTTTCAGTACCAAAAAATTAAAAGAAAGCTGTTCGAGCTTTAATGGCCAAGACAAATAAAAATAGAGGCTTCAGTAGGCCAGAAAAAAACTAGAGCAACTCAGAGAAAGCTCCTGAATGGCTGGTAAGAAGGCTATAATTTAGTTAAAAACCACTGAAAATGACATAATTCTGAGATGAATCTAGCAGAGGAAATGCAGAAATTGGTACAAGCCAGAGTTAGAGTTTGAGATGACCGTGAAGATCTGGTGAAGGACATAGGATAAGCTGCACGATGAGCACTTCCGGGCCCTCCTGGCCTGACGATGCTGAATGGCCAGGTACAGAGCTCCTAAAGCCAGAGCTCATTTTCACACCTTGTTGTCCTCATATGGGATCCCTGCTCTATCCTCAGTACAGAGACAAAAGACCTAGGCCTCTTGAAGGGACTGCTAGATTCTCAAATAGATGGCAGGGGACTTCCCTGGTGGTGCAGTGGTTAAGAATCTGCCTGCAAATGCAGGGGACACGGGTTCGAGCCCTGGTCTGGGAAGATCCCACATGCCGCGGAGCAACTAAGCCCATGTGTCACAACTACTGAAGCCTGCACGCCTACAGCCTGAGCTCTGCAACAAGAGAAGCCACTGCAATAAGAAGCCCGTGCAGCACCACGATGAAGAGTAGCCCCCACTCTTCGCAACTAGAGAAAGCCCGCGCAGCAATGAAGACCCAACGCAGCCAAAAAGAAATAAATAAAAAATAAATAAATTTATAAAGAAGAAAACAAAAAGATGGCAGAAGAGTTGAAAGGAAAAAAACCATAGTTAAAGTCCTTAATCATCCATGTTGTCGTGATAAAGGAATGTACAAAGTGACAGACAGGCTTTATATTTCAGTTAACTTTCTCATTAGGCATGACAACTGGAAGGTTTATCTAAATTTGTTTCAAAGAATTTTGAGTATCTGAAGACACAGAGCCTTCCTGGGCTACATGGTTCCTCTTAAGTGACAATGATCAGTTAGGTTCCCAAATCAATTAGGAAGACAAATCCTGTGGTTTCCTAATCCCCCACTTCCCTATTTGGCCTCTGGTGTTGAGGAAGAGGAGAGAGGACATTAAAAAGAATACATGTAGCATTTTTTAGACACTTGCTATGTACTTCCCACATGTGGCATGGGGAGAGAAAAAATATGAAGCATCGTTCCTATCTTCAGGAAACCTATAAAGTATAGCTGGAGAGACAAGAGCATTCTTACATAGAAGTCATCATGTGACACATTACTATAGAATTACTCCCTAATTTATGTAATTTATTCCCTAATTATGTATTCCTATAGGAATACAGTACTTGTAGGGAGAAATCAGTAGGGTAGGCTTGGAGGAGGAGACAGAACTTCATCTTTGCCTGGAAGGGAGGATAGGATTTGGACAGAAAGCACCAACATCCTACCTTTTCTTTCCTATTTCATTAGCTGCTGCTGAATGTGTACTTAACACAGTAGTATGATTCTACTGGACTGCTAATCACCTACTCCAGTGCAAAGCATCTTCCAGAGCACTGCACAAGAGTCTACGAAGAGAAGTCAGGGAAACTAAAGTCCAGCAAGGAGACAAAGTATTATTACCTAAATATCAGAAAGTATTTCCCAGTGTCTTAATAATGTCACAAAAAAGTCTCCATTAGCTCTAAAAGAACATCACCACAAAATACTGACAGAGACAGGGAGCAGGTATGTTATAAGCACAGAAACTACTCACAACCTTAAAAAACTACCCATGTTGTATCACTCTCTGTAGATGAGATAACACTATGCTTGTCCCCTGGTGATGGCAGTGGGCATGCATTTGCACCAAGTCATCCACATCTGCCCACCCACTTCCCTGTGACCAAAAGCTCACTGAAATTAAGGTTCAGGCAGTAGCCACAGAATGGACTGAAGGTACAACTTGTACCCATATATACTACAACCAGAATCTTGGCTGGATGTCCACCATCCTCTTATGCATTGCTTGCCAATTTTCTTCATATCAGGATACACTGGGGTAAACAGAGGATTTGGATGTGGCTGGGAGCAACTGGTTTAGAAACCCTGGCTCCCCAAGACCATGCCAGCTCACCTCAGGGACCAATATTTCTGCATCTCTACACCCATTCCCTTGGCCCATTAGTTCTGCCTTCAGCACGTAGGTCAGAAAGCTCTGTTCTCACTACCCCACTTCATAGGAGCCTCAGGCCCAGTTTTTTTTTTTTTAACGTTAGTTTGTTTTTATTTTCATAAGCGCCTGTTAAATAAGGGCATAAGGACTTCCCCTGGTGGGGCAGTGGTTAAGAATCTGCCTGCCAATGCAGGGGACACGGGTTCAAGCCCTGGTCCAGGAAGATCCCACATGCCGCGGAGCAACTAAGCCCGTGTAACTAGTCTATGCTCTAGAGCCCACGAGCCACAACTACTGAGCCCACGCGCCACAACTACTGAAGCCCGCGTGCCTGGAGCCTGTGCTCCACAACGAGAGAAGCCACCGCAATGAGAAGCCCGTGCACCGCAACGAAGAGCAGCCCTCGCTCGCCCCAACTAGAGAAAGCTCGCGGGCAGCAACGAAGACCCAATGCAGCCATAAATAAATAAATAAATTTATTTTAAAAAAAAAAGGGCATCAACACAGGCCTTGGAACACAGAGAAGCCACTGAAAACTTGGTCTGTGTTGAGGTAGGCTTGTCATCAGCTCCCATTTCCATGTGAGGTCAGAGAAACCTCAGCCACTTGGAGGAAGCCTTCCTAATCTCAGGAAGAGGTGTCTACCACCCCCACACCCTCACCACCCCCTTTCCCAGCTAAGACTCTGCACCCAAGGGGCACCTAGACATGGGAGTGTGGATGTGGTAAGCCTTGTACAGCTGCTGGACACCCTCAGAAAGCACAGGCTCACCACCACTGCAGCTGGAACAGTCCTGAAAGTAGACTAGTTTTCTCAGGTAAGGGGTGGGCTGCCTAAGACTCCCACCCACTCCTACCTCACCCCTTGTAGATGTCCTCTACAGGCCATTCCCTGCCAGCTGACCTGTAACAGCTCTGCTTACCGTCTTCACAAAGTATAAGCTATCTTCACTGTCCAGAGGCACAATTCTACAAGAGGAAATTGATGGGAGAGACATATATTAAATTTACAGTGTTCTCTTTTTTTCAACTTGGAAGCAACTCACACTCAGATCTCTCTCAGGGATTTTTCAGAACACTGGGTTGCATGTATGCAGAATTCCACTTGGAGGGAACTAGGTCCAGCCCCCAACCCACCCTAGTCTTTCAGTGGAAAGCATTCAGGGCAAAGGGCCTCAGCTGAGCACAGCCACCTCCAAGCCCAGCCCTGGAGTGATGCCACTGCCAGGTGTAGAAGGGTGAAAAGAACATCCATGCCAGCAGTTACAAGGTAGTTGCTCTTCATTTTGCTCCTAAAACTTGCCCCCAGTGAGGACACACCATAAACATATACTTACCTTCCCTGATTATTCACAGCATGTATATGAAAAGCCATCTTGGAGCTGTAGACCCAAAACAAAATAAAACAAAAGTCAGTCTGCTTTTGTGACCACTGTGTTGGCATCCTCCCCAGACACCTGCCACTGCAATGCACCTGTGCTGGGCTCTCACAGCCACCAGTGAGGTGTGTATCGTCCTTACCTGCCTTAGGGCATCATGCCATCAGCAAACATGGGGTCAGTGTCTGACTCCAGTCACGGCCCTGCCTCTGTTCAGATTCTCAGGGCTATCTTGACTCTTGGACAGAGCAGGAGAGAACTATGTGATTGCCATCCATGGCAGATTGAGAGTAAACCTCTACTTGCCCCAGGCCTCTGGCCCACAGCTTGACATATTCTCCTGCTCCTCCTCCTCTTCACCACCTTTGAAGTCAAGCTGCCAGCCCTGCTCGGAGTCAGACTGCTACCCACAGTCAACTGCTATGTAATAATGGGCATGGTCAGGCCTTCAGAACTGAGGAATAACCAGAAAACCCTTTTGGCATCAACTCTTTTTGTAAAAGAAAGCTTCTAAATTGAATTAAATTTAATTTTTTTGCCTTAACAAGTACTGGTCAGTCATATGCTAACTTCCCGTGTTCCTCTTGGGAGAAGATTTGCTAATTTGGTGCAGTTTGAGGGAAGTGACCATGTGAAGAGAAGGAAGTAGGGCTCTTGGGTGGAGGGCTGGCCCTGGAAGACTCTCCTCCTGTTGCCTGGAATGTATTCTCTCCTCGTTCTTTCCTCCAGCCAGGGTGGTACACCCCATGCATAGGAGGCCATGGGATTGAGAGTGTGGCCTGCCCTAGAAAGGCAGAGTGGGCTAGGCAAGGCCCCGAGGACAGGAGGAATGGAATGACTTTGTCAGCCATGCCGATGATAAGAGAGGAGAACCCACTGAGACAGCAGCTACCATTCACTTGCCCAATCACTCTACAGGGCAGGAAGATGATGAAACAGATGCACAGAGAGCTCCCTATCTTGCCCAAGGTCACACAGCTGGAAAGCAAAGAAGCTTCCTTAAACTCAGGTCTGCCAGGAACAGACAGTTCAGGTCAGCACACAGCCTTAAGGGACCAAATTTCCTCTAGCCCTCCCCTCTCGTGGTCAGAGCTACAAGATTCAGAAGACCCAGAAGAAAGGAAAAGAAACCTGAAGCAAGCCTACAGCTTTGCACCAAAGAGTTCTGGTTCTTTCCTACACTCCTGGAGCTATAGCAATAGAATTCTTCTTGTTAGATCATTAACTAACTTAGTTTTCCAAATGTTCCTTCTCACTACCCAGGGCTGCAGATGTAAGAAAATGTGGGGTATGGAACTGAGGTACCACAGGGCACATCCCAGAAGTGTCCTTAAAGAAACTCTCTGATATTGGTGTCTTTTGTCTCCTTCGCAAAAAAGTACACCAAGTCGTCCTCATATGGGACAGAAGCTTGAGTGGACTGGGTTCAAGAAGGTTTAGCTATGGACAAAGACTAAACAGAGATCCACTGTGATATGCCAGGACATGTGTGATGGGAAGACTGCCAGGAAGCCAAATTCCCAGACCTTCTAGACCCTGAGACATGGCCAGGCTCAGGGGTTTCTACCATCTGAGAGGCAGATGAGGCTCAGGGCAACTCTCTTCTAAGCAGTGACCATCTTCATGTGCCCAGGGCCCCTAATCCTAACAAACCTCACCACTCATGTCCCCAGCTTCATCTTTCTAACCTCTGAACCCAGGTCTGTCAGTTCTAATACTGACCTGCTTCCCATTCCAGCCTCAGGCAGTGTGTCTGACTCTCAAACAGTTCCTCCATCCTTGGCTCCTTGGCCTCTCAAATAAAACCCTGATCATGAATGACTCTCCTTCACATATCTTATTGATTTACTGGAACATTTCTCAAAGGGGATACAGAATATCAAATACAAAGGAGAAAAGGGTTTTTAAAACACAAGCATTAAAGAAAAGCTTTTATAGACAATATCAGCTATTGCTTACTGTAGGGCTGCCTTAAACTGCATCAACTCAAAGGAATTTAACCCAGATCCAAAGGTCTGCTCAGCTACCTCCTTGGCCTGTAAAATCAGTAACAAAACAGAGACAATTAGCTTTCACAGCAGGAAAGAATACACTTAGAAGGGCCCTTCTCACATATGGCCAGGAGAACACTTCCCATCCCCTCTAAGTGACTACTTTGTATACATCAATAGATTAAAGTGAAAACATCTTGTTAGGGGAAACAGGAGCCTGCTTTCTTCGGGCTGGGTTCACATGAAAACACTTCATTCAGGCAGGTGGGCACTGGAACCTGATCTGGTGACCTGTAACCAGCTGGGACGGTGCCATTGTGAGGCCTGGAAAAGCGCTTTCTCCTCCCCTCGAGATATCACTGCCCTCAGTGTTTCTGCCCAGATGCTAAGCACATTCAAATAACTAAAGTTATAAAAAATCAGTTAAAAAACAAAGGTGCAGAACTGATACTGAAGAATAACCTACTGTTTTGCATAAACTTTCAGCTAAAGGGCTGAGAAATCCCAAGTACAGGGGGAAGCAAGTTCAGTGAGGAGGGAAGATGGCAAGGAACTGGTGACAAGGAACTGGTGACTAGGCGATAGTCTCTTTGATATCTACAACACAACCTTTCCAATGTCAAATGGTTTGATTCAGGAAAGGTCCTATTGGCACTGGGAGGCATCAAGCCAACTCGTTCTCATCTGTCACTGGGTCAGATATAGAATCCAACTCAGCACAGCAGGTTAACCACAAAACAGCAAGGAAGTAAACGGTCAGAGAAAGGGAACACATGTGCCTGTCTAGGAAAGACAAGTTAGAATTTCTAATCTTTAGTTAATTTTTTAAAACACAGAATTATAGGAAATAAAACTATGTAGCTCAAAATCAACTTATCTAACTTTATTAAAATTCACAGAACAATCTATATTTTTCTTTATTTTTTAACTTTTGAAAGACTTTTAAAAAACTACTAAGTAAAACAATATACTACAGAATGATTTTTTTTTAACACAACCAGATATCTACAAAGAAGTGCTGATTAGCTGTCATTCATAAGACAAGCTCAGCACACTAAAGGCAACTCTTTGGTGCCCAAGTTCACACACAAAATTAAGTACTATAAGGTGTCCAAATTAAAAACAGATCGATAAAAAGTTTCACATTAAAATAACTACTAAGGAAATAGAAATGCGGTATTTAAATTACCTTTGTTAGACTGGAAGTTTTAGCATAACATGCAATGGCAGCCAAAACAGCCTCAATAACAGCAGCATATACCTGTGACAAAAGCCTACTTTAAAAACAAAAAATAAGGGTTAACTACAGCATCACACAAGGTTTCATCAAAAGCTGCGTGCACATAAATGACATTCTCTAAGAAACAGATTTTTAAACAGAATGAGAAAAGTATAATAACAGAACTTGTTGATTTCTAGACCTTTTAAAAGCTATATGCCCCATTCCAATTTTTACTTTGCTCTTGTTAAACCATGATAAGAACCACCTTTTCTTAATTCTGCTCAAAAGACCAACCTTCCCTGTTTGTGATCCAACAGAAGAAAACTATGTAGACTCCCTGACCCTCTACGAGGACCCGAAAGGTATCATGACACAGACTTGCTGCTTTTCCAGGAACCAACCACAGCACACCTTCAAGTCGTCTCCTCCCCAGGCCTGCTAAGGGCTGGCTGCTACTGGAACCTCAGGGTGGGACCCCTCAGGGGGCAAAAGAGATTATCCAATTGAAGAGAAGACTCGCTCCACTTAAACGAAAAAAATTTTTTTTAAATTGGGGTATGGTTGCTTTACAATGTTCTGTTAGTTTCTGCTGTACAGTGAAGTGAATCAGCTATACATATACATATATCCCCTATTTTTTGGATTTCCTTCCCATTTAGGTCACCACAGAGCACTGAGTAGACTTCCCTGTGCTATACAGCAGGTTCTCATTAGTTATCTGTTTTGTTTAGTTTTTTTAAAATTTTATTTATTTATTTTTGGCTGTGTTGGGCCTTTGTTGCTGCACACGGGCTTTCTCTAGTTGCGGCGAGTGGGGACTACTCTTGGCTGCAGTGTGTGGGCTTCTCATTGTGGTGGCTTCTCTTGTTGCAGAGCACCGGTTCTAGGTGGGCAGGCTTCAGTAGTTGTGGCACATAGGCTCATTAGTTGTGGCTCGCAAGCTCAGTAGTTGTGGCTCATGGGCTCTAGAGCACAGGCTCAATAGTTGTGGCACATGGGCTTAGTTGCTCTGCGGCATGTGGGATCTTCCTGGACCAGGGCTTGAACCCGTGTCCCCTGCACTGGCAGGCAGATTCTTAACCACTGCGCCACCAGGGAAGCCCTAGTTATCTGTTTTATACATATTAGTGTATATATGTCAATCCCAATCACCCAGTTCATCCCCCACCTTTCCCCATCCCCGCCTTGGTGTCCATACATTTGTTCTCTATGTCTCTTTTTCTGCCTTGCAAACAGGTTCATCTGTACCATTTTTCTAGATTCCACATACACGTGTTAATATATATTTGCTTTTCTCTGAGTTACTTCACTCTGTATGACAGTCTCTAAATGCAAATTAATAGCCGGAGACCACTTTCTAAATAGCTCACCTGATCTAGAGAATAGAGTATGCTTTTGAGGGGAAGCATCCCCTGCTCCTGCCCAACTTTGCGCTTCCTATCTGACTTCACGCTTCCCAAAGACATTATAAGGTTTTTTTCTTGGGACTTCCCTAGTGGCGCAGTGGTTAAGAATCCGCCTGCCAATGCAGGGGACACGGGTTCGAGCCCTGGTCCGGGAAGATCCCACATGCCGCGGAGCAACTAAGCCCATGGGCCACAACTACTGATGCTGCACTCTAGAGCCTGTGAGCCACAACTACTGAGCCCGCGAGCCACAATTACTGAGCCCGAGTGCCACAACGACTGAGCCCGCGTGCCACAACTACTGAAGCCTGAGTGCCTAGAGCTCGTGCTCGGCAACAAGAGAAGCCACCACAACGAGAAGCCCACACACCACAGCGAAGAGTAGCCCCTTATCACCGCAACTATAGAAAGCCAGTGAGCAGCAACGAAGACCCAACACAGCCAAAAATAAATAATAAATAAATTTATTTAAAAAGGAAGGTTTTTTTCTTTGCCAGACAGGGAATGCCATGAAGATTCCTAGAAAATCCAAGTCTGGTTCCCTTTTGGGCAGGGTTTCTCAATCTCTGCATTTTGGGCCAGCTAATTCTTTGTTGAGAGGTCTTCCCTGTGCATTATAGGATGTTGAGAAGCATTCCTGGCCTCTCAGTAGTAACCTCAGTTGTGACAAGCAAAAATGTCTCCAGACACTGCCAAACATCCCTGGGGATGGGGGGTTGGGGAGGGACTGGTGGGAGTAATGTGGTAGAACTGCCCTCGGTTGAGAACCATTGCCTTAGGGGAAGGAGACCCAGGGTCTTATTAGGATAATTACAGAGAGAAGGGGCTCATCCACAAGGCCTCAAAGGCAAGGGAGGGGTTTGGCAAGTAACTGCCTTATCTAAGAATATGTTTATTTTTAAGCCTGAGGATCTTGTAACAGGTAAAGGAAGGCGAAAGGGAACAGGGAAGAGCAAATTCTGACTCCACTGTTGGTTCTGTTTCTTTTACTTTAACCTTTGCTTTTCATTGCTTTTGTTATTATTATAATCACTATCTATAGCTGTAAGCATACATAATGGCCTGCCACAGGGAACCCTGACCCTCTGCCTGACTGTTAAACTAAAAGGCCTTTGTTCAGCTCACAGAGAGACATCCTGACCCTGCCCACCTGTGAATGGCTGCAGAAAAGAAGAAATTAACACAACCTCTTCCCAGTGCAGGAGATATTCTGCAAGACAAATGGCCTTTTTACATTACTGCTTCACCACCTCTCCCTCTCTGATTCTATAAAAGAAACTGGCATCCAAACCCCGGTAAGATGGTTATTTGGCCACCTTCTTGGTCTGCCGAATAAAGTCTCTACTCCTTGCCTCAACACCTCGTCTCCCGATTTATTGGCCTGTTGTGTGGCGAGCAGAGCAAGCTTGGACTCAGCAACAGTTTGATAGCAGGAAGAACACAGAAATGATCTGGTCTAACACTCTCATCTTACAGAAGAAACAAGTAGGGCCTGTAGAGGAACTGAGGTCTGCTCTCAGCCTGGTGCCTTTCCATTGTGCCACATCACACTGCCAACACCTTCAATTTCCTCCTTGGCTCTCACACCACACCTCTGCATTGCAGGTAAGAGATTTGAATAAGGTAGAAGAAAAAGAGAAACAACACATAACAAAATGACAGCTCCAAGGTTCAACATATCCTGAAGATTGCTGACCAGGCCATGGCAGAGGGGTATGTCCTGGTAGGTAGGTAAGTGCCCGTCAGGGACACTGCCAAACAGCTTGGCCACTTCCAGGTATGACAAGAATCCTCCACATCTCAACACTAAGGGCAAAGATTTATAGAGGCCAAAGACATATAAAGATATCCTTACTCCCTCCCTCACCCAGCTTAATTCAAACATCACTCAGTACCATCACTGGTTCAGGCCAACCCCCTGCTTGGCCTTGTCCTATACAGACCCTCAGGCATGAGTTCAGTACAAAGCTATCTGGCTTCTGACTCATAGAAAGGCCTGGACAGGAGGCCTGAGACCCGTGATTAGGGAAGGGCCTGCTCTATGCCTGGATGGTGCTGCTGTTGCCTTCAGTAGGACTCCATTAGGCCCCAATTCCACCAGCCCTGTGACTTAACAAGTCTCCTGATGTGGGCCCAAGCACCTCTCAACACCAGTCCCTGAAGTAGAGCACCAGGGACTTTGGTTTAAGCAAAATGTCTATGGGTCTAGAATGAGGGTCCAGGGCAATGGCTAAGCACAGCTGGCATGGAAACACAAACAGGTACAAAGTAAGACTATACATATCCACCAACACATGAGAATGTGGTTGACTTGCTGCTAACGTAAAGAAAACCCACACACAAAAATTGTATACACACTACAATTACAGCTACACAAAACCTATACGTATAATTAAAAAACAAAACAACAAAAAGATACACATTAAGATACTAATGTGTGGGGCTTCCCTGGTGGCGCAGTGGTTAAGAATCCACCTACCAATGCAGGGGACACAGGTTTAAACCCTGGTCCGCAGGAGACACGGGTTTGAGCCCTGGTCCAAGAAGGTCCCACATGCCATGGAGCAACTAAGCCCATGTGCCACAACTACTGAAGCCTGCGTGCCTAGAGCCCATGCTCTGCAACAAGAGAAGCCACCGCAATGAGAAGCCCACTCATTGAAGCCCGCTTAAATGAGATTGCACACTGCAATGAGGAGTAGCTCACGCTCACCGCAACTAAAGAAAGCCCGTGCGCAGCAACAAAGACTCAATGCAGCAATCAATCAATCAATCAATATATTAAAAAAAAAGAGATACTAACGGGTCGTGTCTAAGAAGAGGAATTATGGTTAATCTTATTTTTTTTTCCTCATTTCTCAAATTTTCAAGTGTGATTATATTACTTTATATTTTTCCAACAGAGCCTTATGGGTTCTACCCTAGAGATTCTGATTCAGTAGTTCTGAGAACTACTATAGCCTGAGAAATGTATCTTTTTAAAAAGATCCTTAAATGATTCTCTGTGGCCTGTCACTGTTAGCCTTTGGGAAGCACAGACCTAACTAGTTTATGCTAGGATATTTAATTAGGTAATAACAGAACTCTATTACCTTCATAATTCTGAAAGAAAATCCCTTTACAGAATTCAGAAATTCCTGCATTATTATGGACTGATTACATCCTCCCAAAATTCATATGGAACCCGTAATCCCCAGTGTGACTATATTTGGAGATAGGGCCGGGCCTTTAAAAGGTAATTAAAGTTAAAGGAGGTCATAAAGTGTGGGCTCCTAATCCAGTAGGATTGGTATTCTTATAAGAGGAAGAGATGCCAGGGACTTCCCTGGTGGTCCAGTGGTTAAGAATCCGTCTTGCAATGCAGGGGACACGGGTTCTATCCCTGGTCGGGGAACTAAAATCCCACATGCCATGGGGCAAATAAGCCCACGTGCCACAATCAGAGAGCCCGTGTGCCACAACTAGAGAGAGAGAAGCCCACATGCCACAGCTAGAGAGAAGCCCGTGCACCTCAACGAAAGATCCCATGTGCCAATGCAGCTAAAATATAAATAAATATTTAAAAAAAAAAAAAAAAAAAGGAAGAGGCACCAGAGATCTTTCTCTCTCTCCATGTAAGCACAACACTAAGAAGGTGTGGTCTACAACTCAAGGAGAGAAGCCTCACCAGAAACCAACTCTGCTAGTACCTAGATCTTGGACTTCTAGTCCCCAGAATTGTGAGAAAATAAATTCTGTTGTTTAAGCCACACAGTCTGTGGTAATTTGTTACGGTAGCCCAAGCAGACAAGCATTAATGAGTTTACTTCTTGTCTTTGGTTTCCTGCTATACTGGGGGGCGGGGGGCGGGAGAGAAGTCAACACTAGGCCCTTTCTAGAGAGTTGCATGGCCTGAGTTGAGATCCTAGCTCTGTTCCATAAGTCTCAGTGTCAAATTCAGAGGAAACACCTCTCAGACCAGATGTGGTTTCACACAGGTTCTACCAATGGGTTTCAGGATGTTTTATTTTTTGGAAAGCCCTATTAAAAAAATGCACTATATAGAAAATATATTAAGAAGCGTTATGCCACTTAAATGCATGGGTGTGCAGGCAGGAAGTCTCTGAGTCTGGAGAGAGGAGCAGATGGCAAACCTGGCAGTGTCTCTAGCCTAGACTTCAAGATGAAAGACAGGGGCTGGGACATTCTGGGAGACTACACAGCTCTACTTTACTTACTTATTTTACTTATTTATTTATTTATTTACTTATTTGGCTGCATTGGGTCTTAGGTGCAGCAACGTGGACTCCAGAGAGCACAGCCTCGGTAGTTGTGGTGCGGGCTTATTTGCCCTGCAGCATGTGGGGATCTTAGTTCCACAACCAGGGATAGAACCCACGTCCTCTGCATTGGAAGGTGGATTCTTAACCACTGGGCCACCAGGAACATCCCTCTGCTCACCTCTTAAGCCAAATGTCCTACCCAATGCTGATCTCAAAAGGAGGTAAATGGGACAATCTCAACATCTGAGTAACTCAATGTGAGAAAGAAAAAAATGTAATAGAAACGAAGACTTACATTTGTTCAGTTTTCTTGGGCAGCTTGTTGTCATCTCCTGTGAAAGAGGACCATGTATTAAGAATGTGACAAGATTACAGGAGATGCAAACACTTTCACAAGGAGGCTAGAATTTCTTAATTTTTTTTTTTTTTTTTTTTAGAATTTCTTAATTTGAAGATGTCAAGAATTACACTTTTTTCTTTTGAGTTAAATACTGTACAAGCACAAACAACAGTGAAACCTAGCTTCTGCCAGTATCCTCCCAGACCATCATCCCTGACACTGACCTTGACAACCAATCAGCATCACCACTAAACACGAGAGAAGACATGTAGAATCTTCATCTCTGGAATGTTTTTGCTTTTATTTTTAAATTTTTAAATTAGGAGGTATAAGTAAGCAGGCTCAGTTCTGCCTCTTTCTTCATCTCTTAATTATCCAACCCAAGTCATGCTTCTTTCAGAGTTTCCTGGCTTATATAACAATGCTCAGGAGAAGACCTGGTTTCTGATGTACTCTCCTCTGTGGAACAGTGCTGGGACCCTCATTCATTCAAGAGTTCTTCTCTGTGTCTCTTTGGATGTCTGCAGCTTCTGGTTACCTCAGCAAAGAGGATAGTCTCAGTCAGCCTAGCCTTTCTGAATGGCTCCTCAGCATAGAGTACTTGCTCTTGTCAATGTTCCCAGCTTATGGGTACCCTTCTACCATGGCTCTTCCTCACCTTCCTCACTAGAACAACAGGCACCTGGCTGAGTCATCTAAACTCCCATCGCAGCCCATATCTCCTCCTGCTATCTCCAACTACAGCTGACGCATCTTTGCCTTCCCTCTGATACCAAGCACTTGGTCTCACACATGATTGGACCTAATATATATTGAGCTGATAATTATTCCTCCTGAAATACATTGTGAGAAATGTGTTAGGCACATCAACAAGGAATTACAGGCTACAAAATGAGTTTCTGAGGAAAGTAGTAAATCTCAAGTCCACTTCTAGTTCATGGGAGAAACTTTTCATTAGATAAGTTGATGAGATGACAACTTACATGGACTTACCCAAGTAAGGAACATGAGTAGCTCCAAAAAAGTATGTTCTTGAACAAGCAAGGGGTCCCTTTGGTGAAACACATTGTACTACCTGGATATCAGAAAAAAAAAAAAAGTAAAAAAGGAGCAGGGATTTAAGTGTGTACTGTTAGAGAAACAAAAAGTGTATAGTTAATAGAAATCCATTTTATTTTACCAACAGCTGATTTATTATTTTTTAAACGCACAGGGGAAAAGGTCACCTTTTTTTTTTTTTTTGTGGTACGCAGGCCTCTCACTGTTGTGGCCTCTCCCGTTGCGGTGCACAGCCTCCGGATGCGCAGGCTCGGCAGCCATGGCTCACGGGCCCAGCCGCTCTGCGGCATGTGGGACCCTCCCGGACCGGGGCACGAACCCGTGTCCCCTGCATCAGCAGGGGGACTCTCAACCACTGCGCTACCAGGAAAGCCCAAAAGGTCACCTTTAATTGTTGTTTTTCCAAAGGTATCTCGTGTGTGTTTTATAACTTTGGCTACATTGTGAGGCTGCTGTTGGGTCAGCCCAGGATGCTAAAGAATTAACAACTTAGAAAGAAAAGAAGACAAAATGTGCTTGGGTTTTGACTGTCATTAATGTTTAGTGCAGAACTTTCACAGTTTGGACCTTGGCTGACATGATATGCACATGTGGGAAGGCAGCTACAAATTCAGGAAAGGAGGTGATACCCAGGTTCCCAGCTGCACTTGTATTTTATCTCTGTACACAGGCCATCCAGAAGAGAAAATAATTTCTCTAGATTTTTAAATTCTTATTTTTCTTCCCTTCTTAGTTGTTCATTTATACAGATGGAAATGGATGTCCTTTTTCTCTTTTGAAAATCCAACAATCTCATCAGGGTTCCTAGGATAGTAGGTACAAAATGCAAAAATGCTACCATAAGAAATAGAGGAAAGGAAATTAGCACAGTATCTTATTTTTTTTTAATTAATTAATTAATTTATTTATGGTTGCATTGGGTCTTTGTTGCTGCGCGAGGGCTTTCTCTAGTTGCGGTGAGCGGGGGCTACTCTTCATGAGGTGTGCAGGTTTCTCATTGCGGTGGCTTCTCTTGTTGCACAGCACTGGCTTTAGGTGTGCAGGCTTCAGTAGTTGTGGCTCACGGGCTCTAGAGCGCAGGCTCAGTAGTTGTGGCGCATGGGCTTAGTTGCTCCGTGGCATGTGGGATCTTCCTGGACCAGGGCTCAAACCCGTGTCCCCTGCATTGTCAGGCAGACTCTCAAGCACTGTGCCATTAGGGAAGCCTAGCACAGTATCTTAAAAACAGCTAAATATGACACAAATATTCATTCCTTCTATTTTACTCCATTAAGGAAGTCACAAGAGAATATATGGCATTTTTCTGTAATCCAAGTTATAGATTTGAAATAAAAATTTAATTCTGACTAATCTAAACTATACCATAGTGAATATGATCAATACTGCCATGATCCTAAATGAAAAATCATGTATATAATTCTAATTGTTGGTTAATAGGCTTATTTCCTCAAAACATGTTCCTTGGATTTCCAAATTTTCCCTAACTAAAGGTTTTTTTTAAGGTGCCATGTATTTCAAACCTGCTTCCTTAGATGAGGTCACAAATTTATGTAAGCCTATATTAACATCAAATTTATTGATGTTTAGATGCAACTGACAAGGGATTAATCTCCAAAATATACAAACAGCTCATACAGCTCAATATCAAAAAAACAAACAACACAATCCAAAAATGGGCAGAAGACCTAAATAGACATTTCTTCAAAGAAGACATACAGATGGCCAAAGGGCACATGAAAAGATGCTCAATGTCACTAATTATTAGAGAAATGTAAATCAAAACTACAATGAGGTATCATCTCACACTGGTCAGAATGGCATCGTCAAAAAGTCTACAGGGGCTTCCCTGGTGGCGCAGGGGTTGAGAGTCTGCCTGCTGGGGCAGGGGGCGCGGGTTTGTGCCCCGATCTGGGAGGATCCCGCGTGCCGCGGAGCGGCTGGGCCCGTGGGCCGTGGCCGCTGGGCCTGTGCATACGGTGCCTGTGCTCCGCAACGGGAGAGGCCACAGCAGTGAGAGGCCTGCGTACTGCAAAAAAAAAAGTCTACAAATAATAAATATTGGAGAGGGTGTGGAGAAAAGGGAACCTTCCTACACTGTTGGTGGGAATGTAAATTGGTGCAGCCACTATGGAGAACAGTATGGAGGTTCCCCAAAAAACTAAAAATAGAGCTAGCATGTGATCCAGGAATCCCACCCCTGGGCACATACTGGAGAAAACCATAATTTGAAAAGATACAATGCACCCCAATGTTCATTGCAGCACTATTTACTGTAGCTAAGACATGGAAACAACCTAAATGTCCATCAACAGATGAATGGATAAAGAAGATGTGGTATATATATACAGTGGAATACTACTCAGCCAAAAAAAGGATGAAATAATGCCATTTGCAGCAACATGGGTGGACCTAGAGATGATCATACTAAATGAAGTAAACCAGAGAGAGAAAAAGATAAATACATATGATATTATATGTGGAATCTAAAAAAAAAAAAGATACAAATGAACTTATTTCCAAAACAGAAAGAGACTCACAGGCATAGAAAACAAATTCATGGTTATCAAAGGGAAAAGGGCGTGAGGGGAGGGATAAATTAGGAGGCTGGGATTAACATATACACACTACTATATATAAAATAGATAACCAACAAGGACCTACTGTATAGCACAGGGAACTAGACTCAGTATTTTGTAATAACCTATAAGGGAAGAGAATCTGAAGGATATGTGTGTGTGTGTGTGTGTGTGTGTGTATATATGTACACATACACACATATATATGTATAACTGAATCACTGTGCTATACACCTGAAACTAACACAATATTGTAAATCGACTATACTTGAAAAAAATGTTATTGACATTTACATTAAAAAGGAAATTGGTACAACAGAATTTGCATGTGTAATGTAAAACTGCTCAGATAATCTGGATTTTCAGATTTAATATCACCTGTTAATTTGTAAATTATTCACAAATGGCACAGAAATGGAAAAGATAAGTACGTCACCTTGAAACAGAGATGAATGAAGATGAAAGTTCATAACTAGGCCCCCCACCACCCCAGGACCAGGTCTCAGTAAGTTCCTTGACTTCATTAGGTTTTCATGTTTGTAAAATAAAGAACCCCAATTATTACAGAAAGTTGTATAAATAACCTGCTACATTTTTGTTTTGGTAATAGACTATTTTTTTTTAGAGCAGTTTTAGGTTGACAGAAAGACTGATCCGAAAGCACAGAGAGTTCCCACATTATCTCCTGTCCTTCCCTCTGCCTCCACAATTTCCCCTATTATTTGTCTTGTAATATTATATTTGTTACAACTGATGAACTAATATTGATAAATTATTATTAACTAGAGTCCATAGTTTACATTAGGGTTCGCTCTTTGTATTGTACATTCTATGGGTTATACAAATGTATAATGACATGTGCCCATCATGACAATATCATACAGAATAGTTTCACTTCCCTAAAAATCCACTAAGATCCATCTATTCTCCCTTCCTCCCAAACTCCAGGCAACAACTGATCTTTTTAGTGTCTCCATTTTTTCTTTTTTTTTTGGCTGCACTGCGTGGCTTGTAGGACCTTAGTTCCCCCGACCAGGGGTTGAACCCAGGCCCTCGGCAGTGAGAGTGGCAGTGAGAGCGTGGAATCCTTAACCACTGGACCGCCAGGGAATTCCCTTTACTGCCTCCACTGTTGTACCTTTTCCAGAATGTCATATACTATGTAGCCATTAAAGATTGGCTTCTTTAACTTAGCAATATGCATTTTAGGTTCCTCCACGTCTTTTCGTGGCTTGATAGCTCTTTTTATCACTGAAACACAGTCCACTGTATGGATGTAACACAGTTTACTTATCCAGTCACTTGCTGAAGGACATCTTGGCTGCTTCCAAGTTTCCAAGTTTTGGCAATTATGAAAAGTGATGTTATAAGAAAAAATTCCTTGTGTAGGTTTTTGTGTGGACCTAAGTTTTCAGCTCATTTGGATAAATACCAAAGAGCATGACTGATGTTAAAAGTATGTTTAGTTTTGCAAGAAACTGCCAAACTGTCTTCCAAAGTAGCTGTACCATTTTGCATTCTCACCAGTAATGAATGAGAGTTTCTTTTGCTCCACATTTGGTGTTGTCAGTGTTTCAGCCATTCTAAGGTGTGTAATGGATGGCTAAATTATTGCTCCAAACATTTTACAGCACCATCCTCACTGACTCTTCTACTAGTCTGTGAGATCCTTCAAGGCAAAGACCATGACTATATTTTCCTTGCACCTAGCACAGTGACTGGCACATAGTAGACACTCAATAATGATTACTGAGTTAATGACCGAAAGCTCTTTGGCTTTGGAGTCATACAGACCTAAAAACAGAAATTGGCTAAGTCATCCACAATGTGGGTGTGCACTGGGGTTGGTTTCTTTTTTTGCAATTTTTTTGAGATAAAATTCACTATTTTAAAGTATACCAAAAAAACGTACTGGTTTTATCATTGTGTTCTTTTGTCCTCCTTATTGTTCCAAGATTCCTTCTTTTTTTTTTTTTTTTTATCATTTCTTCTTTGTTTTGACCAAACTTCCTTTAGTCATTCTTTTAGGGTAGGTCTGCTGGCAACAAATTCTCTTAGTTTTCTTTCATCTGAGCATGTCTTGATTACCCCTTCATTACTGAAGGAGGTTGTCACTGGATATAGATTTCTAGATGATAGTTCTCTTTTAACACTTGAAATGTAACAGTCAAGATATAACAAATTTAGGCTTGGAATGACTGTCCATTTTCAAGTTAATTTAAAATTCTTATTCTACTGTTGATACTACTTGGATAACTGAAAGTTTGGTTTGTGAAAGTATTTTTTTAACCTTTTCCCTTCAATATTTAAAAATTAAATATGATACTTTCAAATCATATCTAGTACTTATATAAAAATACACAGTCAGTTTTTAATCACTTTTCACACCAAAACAACTTCAAGTTCAAGGTTAAATCAATACACTAGTTGGAAAGGTTCCATTTATCCAGCTCCCCTCCTCCCTATTTGATAATAAAACCAATTAAGCACCAGGTAGTCAAGCCACTCACCATGTGTTTGGCAAAGCTCCCGCTGGGACCAGTGCTGCGTACCAGGTGCCCTTCAGAAGGGAAGTTAAAGTTGCCAGCATTCAGGTTCTCTCGTGTGGAATGATTACCAAAGAGAACAAATGGCTGCCTATTAGGGCTAGAGTGGCAAATCAAAAACATGTAATTAGTGAAGAGATTACTGGCTAGGGAAACTTCCAAATGAGTGAGTTCTTGGGCTTCTCTGACTGTCATCCTGCAGTTTGAGCAAGGTGATTAGTACAGTCCACCTAATGCTCCCTGCTGGTTGAGAAGAGATACCAGATTATCTTTGACTCCTCCTACTGACCCATAGGGACATAACTAAACCCAAGCCATGTTTATATTTTTAGCTTGTCCTGCTGCTTAAGGAGAAAGTTCTGTAAGTTTGCTGTCCATGATACAGAGATGGAGCAAAATCCCAGTTTTATACAATAGCATTTTGATAGAAATATACATCTTCAAGAATGATAGCAGTTGTGATACTCACACTGTAGACAAACAATAGAGCTGTTAACCATTCCCAAGTAGCTTTAGGAGGGAAGGAGGAAAGTAGGGTTGCAAATGTTCTCACCACCACACCTACCCGTCCCTGCACCCATCCCTCTCTTCCCTCTTTCCTCTTGGCTGCAATGCTTCCTCAGAGTTTCCCTGCTTTCCACTCTGCTTCCACTCTGCCCTCCTATAATCCATTCTCCACATTGCAGAGAAGATAATCTTTTAAACATTCAAAGCCTTTATTTTCAGGAGAAGGGCTGAAATCTTTCACATGGCCAACAAAGACTAACATGGTCTGGCCTGGCCAGCTTCTTTAGCTCCATATAAGGCCACTCTCTCCCAACTTCCACACTCCAGCCAAACTCATCTTCTTTTATGTTCCTCGACACACATTTCTTTTATGTTCCTTACGTTCTCATCTCAGGACCACTGCTTTTGTCCCTTAATTATCTTTACTCATCATTCACATCTCATCTCCCCCCAGAGGTCAGCTCTCCAGTGTGGTCTTCACAGTACCATGTTCTTTTTTCCTTCAAGGCGTCAATCAGAGTTTGCAATTACATATTTCTTTGTGAGGTTGCTTGATTAATGTCTTATTTCTCCACCACACTATTCACTCCATGAGGGCAGAGGCTGTGTCTGGTTTATTTTTAAATCATGTATCTCTTGCTTAGTATGTCACACCTATTTGTCAACAAACAGTCAATGACTAAAGGATATTTTAAAAAGATAGTTTCTGCTATGGATTGAATGTTGTGTTCTCCCAAAATTCAACATGTTAAAATCCTAACCCCCAAAGTGATGGTATTAGGAGGCAGGGATTTGGGGAGGTGATTAGGTCATAAGGATAGAGCCTTCATGAACAGGATTATAAAAGAAACTCTTATAAAAGAGGTTCCAGAGAGATCCCCCTTGCCCCTCCTGCTATGTGAGGTTAGAGTGAAATGACACCTATCTATGAGAAAGTGGGCCCTCACCAGACACCAAATCTGCCAGTGCCATGATCCTGGACTTCCCAGTCTCCAGAACTATAATGGAGAAATAAATGTTTGTTGTTTATAAGCTACCCAGTCTATGGTATTTTTGTTACAGGAGCTAAAACAGACTAAGACAGCTTTCTTTATCCCATACTCTTTCCTTAAATTGCCCTTAGAGTACGTCATGTGGAAAATCCTTTGTATTTCTTCTCATTGTTCTTAAACATACTTCCTTAAGCTTCAGGCAAACTGGGGCTGTTAAAAGTAAAAATGACCCTGATTCTATTCTGATGCTTAATTCAAGTTAAGTGAGACTCTGTGCAGAAAAAGATGACTCTGAGTCCCAGCCAGGGTAGTCTGTCTCATTACCAGATTGGACTGCAGTTGGGGAAGAAAAGAAAGGAAAGATCTACTCGCATTTATCCATCAGAGGAACTATCCGCTGCTGGGCCCTCCTGATTATCATTGCAAAAGAGGTACTGAAGGAAACACTTCAAGAAAACAAATGCAGCAACCCTCATTGCTCCCATGTCTTCCTGGGGCTGGACCTTTATGCCCAATCCCTTTTACTTCCCAACAAGCCACTGTTGATCACTGCCCAGCCCTTGGACACTCTGCTTCCTCTAGCTTTGCTGGGTTACTGATGGAATAAAAAATTCCTTTCTTTAGATTTTAGCAAGTTACAATGTTTTAAAAGCCACCTTAATATAAAACTTTTTTTAATACAAAAATACAAAAGCAGTGAAACAGACAATTTTATAGAGTATGGATTTCTTACTCTGTGATGACTAAAGTCAACCCATATTTTCCTGACTCCAGCTTCTGTACTTAGATTCTCCCCCATTTCCACCCCCTTGTCAACCCCATTTTCTCTATTACCATTCAATTTCTTTCCCAAGAATCTTACCTATTTTCAGTTATATGACTGGAAATCATTCCATGACTAAAGTAACTTCTGAATGGCTAAAAAAGAAGTCAACATTATATATATTAAGATCACAATTTTATAAAACAATCACAAACCCATCATATATGCATGTATGTGTGTTTATAGTATGTGTGTGCGTGTGTGTGTGTGTGTGTGTGTGTGTGTGAGAGAGAGAGAGAGAGAGAGATGCATGTTTATAGATTGTTATAAGAACATGGGAGGACATATGTGGTGGATAACAACATGAATTTTGGGGATAGAAAGCAAACAAACAACAATTAGCAAAGAAAAAAAAAGATAAAAGGCTGCAAAAGAAAAAGAAAGGAAAAGGAAGGTAAAGAAAAATCCTTGTCAAATTTTACAGTTTTTAACTACTGAAAGGAAATTGGACAAACCACCATCTGTGTTCTAAGTTACTAACCATATAGGAATCTTTTTCTTCTATTAAATTTTTTTCTACATTTCCAATAATTAGAATTATGTTAATTCTATAAATTATAATATATATTAATTCTAGTATACTAATTTAAAATGAGTAATGAGGGAGAATCCAAGGGACTTAGAAGTACTGACAGAAGTTTCCCAGGAAACCACAGAAGTACTTCTCAGCTTTGATGTGCATAGTGCTAGGCTAAACACTAATCAAACACTGATATGCAGGGTCTCTGTCAAGAGTTCAAAACTTCAAAAGGCAATTCTAATCCCCTTAAATAATGCTGATTGTTTCCCCCCCATTAAATAAATAATATATGCTTATTTTAGAATACAATAAAAACCACCTACAATCTCTAAGAACTATTAACGTTCTGGTACATTTTCTTCAAATCTTTCTTCTATGGTATATTCATAGAATATATATAGATTGTACCAAAGTTTATTAAATAGTCCTTTATTCTTGGAAATTTATATTGCTACTAACTCTATCATAAATAATACTGTAATGAATAACTTTTCATAAATTTTATCTACAGCTCTGATTATTTCCTTAAGGCAAATCTGGAAAGGAAATTATAGGGTAAGAAGGCAAAACTATATTGCCAAATTGTTTTTCAAAAAAGTCTGATCAATGTACACTTCCACTTACAATATCTGAGTGTGCCTATCTCAGGGTAAGCACTGTCCAATAAATGTCCTTTTAAAAATATATTTGTCAAGTTGACAAACGAAAAATGGTACCTCATTGTTGTTTTTATTTTATACCCCTTTGATTTTTAATGAAGTAGAATATTTCAGATATGTTCAATGGCCATTTGGACTCCGCTTTGGTAATTAACTGTTTATTTACATCCTCTTGTATGTTTATCAATTGGAGTTTTGGAGTCTGTCTTACTGATTTGTAAAAACTCTTTATATATTAAAGGAATAACAGCTAAAGTTTATTGAGGGTTTACCATGTGAACTGTGACAGCCATTTAAATGTATTATCTCAAGTACAGTTGACCCTTGAACAACAAAAGTTTTAACTGCACAGGTCCACTTATATGTGGATCTTTTAAAATAGTAAATACCACAGTAATATATGACAGGCAGTTGGTTGAATCTGTGGATGTGGAACCGCGGATGCCAAGGAACCGCAAATATGGAAGGTCTGCGTATAAGGAGGCGTTGTGTACACAAAGGGCTGGCTATAAGTTAAATGCAGATTGACGACTGTGTGGAGGGTCTGGAGGGTCTGGGTCCCTAATGCCAGTGCTGTTCAAGGGTCAACTGTAATCCTAGTAACAACCTATGCAATTCATTCTATCATGATCCCCTCTTTACAGATGAGTTAGCTAATTTAATTAACTTGTCCCAGGTCACAGAGCTAGTGAGCTGCATAGTCAGGATTCTAACTGGATTTGGGAAAAAAAGATAAAATTAGATCCATATCTCACATCATATACACAAAAAATCCCAAGTGAATTACGGATCTAAATTTTAAAAATTAAACCATACAAGTACTAAAAGGGTAAATTCCTCTTTAACCTTAGATTTATAAGCCTTTCTGTATATGACTGAAAATCCAGAGGCAATAAAAGAAAATATTAATAAATTTACATAAAGATAAAAAGTTTACATAGCAAAAAACCACCATAAACAAAGCAACTGATAAATAAGGAAGAAATATTTGGAATATATATCACAGACAAAAAGGTAATAGCCTAAATATATAAAGAACTCGTAAAAAACAAGGAACAAAAGACCTAAAACCTGTGCTCTATAGCTCAGTTAATAGTATTGTACCAATATTAAAATGGGAAAAAGACATGAAAATAAAATATAAAATGGCCTTCAAACATATGAAGAAGTGTTCAAGCTTAGTCATAATTAGAAAAACACAAACTAAAATAATACCAAGATACCATTTCTCATCGATGAGACTGTCAAAAATTAAAAAGTATGACAACACATTCTATTGGTGAGGCTGTGGTAAAACAGGCACTCTCATATGTTGCTAGTGGGAATGCAAATCAGGACAACCTTTCTGAAGGGAAATTTGGCAATAGCTAACACAACTACATATGCACTTACCTTTTGACCCAGCAATCCCATTACTAGGTATACAAACCTCCAACAATATGAAAATACATAAGCACAGAGTTATTTACTATGGCACTGTTTGCAACGGCAAAATAACCTAAATACACATACATAAGACAGGGGTTATTCTGCATATAACTTATAGTTGGCCCTCTGAATTCGCGGCTCCTCTGCATCCATGAATTCAACCAATCCTGAACTGTGTAGTACTGTAGTATTTACTACTGAAAAATATGCAAGTGGACCCAGGTAGTTCAAGCCTGTGTTGTTCAAGGGTCAACTGTACTATGAATTATAATGAAGAATGAACTGACCTAGAGAGAGTTCCAGGATACACTGTTAAGTGAAAAGAGCAAAGTGGAAATGACTACATATGGTATGCTACTCTTCAATGAAAGAAAGGATATAAGAAAATACCTATGTATCTGATCATTTGTGCAAAAGAGACAGAAAACATAAACCACAAACTGAAGAGATCTGTTACCTACTGGTAATGGAATGGGTGGAAAAAGGGTGGGAAGAAAGTGGGAATCAGAATATGGTAGGTAAGAACCCAGGAGTGACATGTCACCGAGTATATCTTTTTTTTTTGCGGTAGGCGAGCCTCTCACTGTTGGGGCCTCTCCCGTTGTGGAGCACAGGCTCCGGATGCGCAGGCTCAGCGGCCATGGCTCACGGGCCTAGCCGCTCCGCGGCATGTGGGATCTTCCCGGACTGGGGCACGAACCTGTGTCCCCTGCATCAGCAGGCAGACTGTCAACCACTGTGCCACCAGGGAAGCCCTCACTGAGTATATCTTTTTGAATATTTTTTACTCTTAGAATCAGTAATAAGAAAAAAAGAATTAAAAAAAATAAAAAACTGAAATGGGCATCAGTGAGAGGTGGGACAACTTCAAGTGGCCTAATATAGAAGTAATTGGAGTCTCTGAAGGAAAAGAGGACAGAAAAAATAATGGCCAAAAACTTTCCAAACTTGATGAAACTAAAAATCCAGATCCAAAAAGCTCAACAAAACCCAAGCATAGGAAATATGATCAAAATTATAGTGAGACATACCATAATCAAATTACTCAAAACCAGTAATGAAAGAGAAAATCATAAAAGCTACCAGAGGGAAAAATGACAAGTTATGTACAGAAGAACAAAGATAAAGATCAATGACTTCTCATCAGAAATAATGCAAGTGAGAAAGAGTGGAACAACATCTTTCAGGTACTGTAAGGAAAAAACTGTCAACCTAGAATTCTATATACAGCAAAAATACTTTCAAAAATGAAAGTGAAGGATTTCCTTGGTGGCATAGTGGTTAAGAATCTGCCTGCAAATGCAGGAGACACAGGTTCAACCCCTGGTCCGGCAAGATCCCACATGCCGCCGAGCAACTAAGTCCATGTGCCACAACTACTGAGCCTGTGCTCTACAGCCCGTGAGCCACAACTACTGAGGCCCAAGTGCCTAGAGCCCATGCTCCGTGACAAGAGAAGCCACCGCAATAAGAAGCCTGCAACAGTGTAACAAAGAGTAGCCCCCACTTGCCACAACTAGAGAAAGCCTGCGTACAGCAAATGAAGACTCAATGCAGCCAAAAATAAATAAATAATTAATTAGAAAAAAAAGAAAGTGAAATAAAATTTTTTTTCAGACATACAAAAGCTGGAAGAATTAATCATCAGAAGATTCACACTACAAAAAATGTTAAATGATATCCTTCGGGGCGAAGGAAATCATACCAAATGGATATCTGTGTCTGCACAAAGAAATGAACAGCACCAGAAATTTTAACTACATGGGCAGATATGTAAGATTTTTTAATTATTTAAATCTTTAAAAAATACTTTTAAGATTTTTAAAAGACAAAAAAGACAACTGTTTAAACAAAGATAACCCCAATATATTGTGGGGTTTATAACATAATGTAAAAGTAAAATGCACAGCAACAAAGATCAACTCCAGTTCCAAAGGGCAGGAGTAGGGCCTGTCCTGGGTCACAGTGGAACACAGCAGAACTGAGGACTGGCAGGGCAAGCCCAAAGTAAGCTCAAGTGCAAGCTCAAGATCACTCTTTTGATCCTTCCTGTTGACTAGTTTTGGGAAATAGTTTGGGAACCAGTTTTGTGCCTTACTTACTTTATTTACTTATTTATTTTATTTATTTTTGGCTGCATCTGGTCTTAGTTGTGGCACGCGGGATGTTCATTGAGGCATGCAGGATCTTTTGTTGCAGCGCGCGGGCTCTTTGCTGTGGTGCGCGGGCTTCTCTCCAGTTGTGGCCTGCAGGTTTTCTCTTCTCTAGTTGTAGCGCGCAGGCCCCAGAGCACATGGGCTCTATAGTTTGCAGCACGCGGGCTCTAGTTGAGGCGTGCGAGCTCAGTAGTTGTGGTAAGTGGGCTTAGTTGTCCCACGGCATGTGGGATCTTAGTTCCCTGACCAGGGATCGAACCCGCATACCCTGCATTGGAAGGCGGATTCTTTACCACTGGACCACCAGGGAAGCCCCTGTGCCTTAGTTCTTGATTTACATAACTCAGTTTACTCATGGAGTGGGGCTTATCCTGAACCTAGTAACTTCACTACTGTTGTCTGCCTAGAAAGAAAGCTTGGCATTACCTAGAGGTTCAACTGACAAAGGTGTGCTATTCACATGTGGAGAATTATTCCTAGGCTTATTAACTGGTGCCCAACAGAATTCCTGGCTGATAGGGGCACCACCTCTGACAAATGAGTATCTTTCTTGTAGAGAAACTGCACAGAAAAAAAAAACCTTCTTATATAGGGGTTGGCATGGGAGTTAAAAACTTCTTTATAGCATGCAACAAATCTTAAGGAAATGATAGCCAAATTCAGATCGGTAGTGCTGTATTCTGAGAATTTTTTTTTGCGGTACGCGGGCCTCTCACTGCTGTGGCCTCTCCCGTCGTGCAGCACAGGCTCCGGACGCACAGGCTCAGCGGCCATAGCTCACGGGCCCAGCCGCTCCGCGGAATGTGGGATCCTTCCGGACTAGGGCACGAACCCGTGTCCCCTGTATCCGCAGGCGGACTCTCAACCACTGCGCCACCAGGGAAGCCCTGAGAAAATTTTTAATAAAAATAAAAACAATAAATAAACTAGCCAATTTCTTCTTTCTCTTTAACCCTTCCTTTACATACCTCACCCGCCTGAGATTCAGACAATTCCAGCAAGAAGGGAATTTCTGTGTCAAAACTGGCGAAGAAGCTAGTCCACTGACGTTCAAAAGCCACCAAATCCTAGAAAGAAAATGAAAAGATAATGTGGTCATTCAAGGAGGTACTTTAGAAAACCAGAATCATGAAGCCGCATCTGATCTCAAAATACCAGACCGTTTAAATATGTTGTTTAAAAGGTAGTAGCAAACTACTGATACATGTTACCACATGGATGGACCTCAAGAACATTATGCCCAATGAAAGAGGCCATATATAAAAGACTACAGTATATGAAATACTCAGAAAAGACAAATCTAGAGACAGAAAGTAGATTAGTGGTTTGCTTAGGGCTGACAGTGGGAATGGAGGTTGACTGCAAGTGAGGACAAGGGAACTTTCTGGGTTGATGAAATGTTCTAAAATTCAAATTGTGGTGATAGTTGCACACCTCTGTAAACTTACTAAAAATCACCAAACTGTACACTTAAAATGGGTAAATTTTATGGTATATAAATTATATTCCAATAAAGCTGGGGTTTTTT